ATGATGGTGGGGCGAGGACTCATCTTTTCAATGATGGGGAGTCACGTTATTACCCTTGTTGTCTGTAATTATGGTTTTCTCTGATTGAGGCAGGAGCAAGGCCAAATGTTTTGAAGAACCCGAAGAAGTTGTGTTTATTAACTTCTTCTGCTCATTTATTATACCCCTAGAAGTAAAGATTGGAAAAAATATCCTTCATATGTATGGCCTATTCGTGCAATTTAATTATTTTTGTACCTCTTGGATGTTTCGTGTTGTCCTTGTCATTGTACTGGCTCTGGTTTCAACTTCAGGGCAAAGTACTATCTCATCCTGCGTCCTGAAAAATGCTTACTTAGCAGAAAGCGGTTGCAATATCAGGCTGACATCTTACCTCGTCCAGCCTGAGGTTCTTGAAGAACAATCCCCCACATCGATTTACCGAGATCATGTCATCCCCTTGATTCTCGTCTAAATGGTTACAGACGAACTTTACTTTCGGATAGGCTCACAAACTTGTTTCTGTTACATTATATATTCCAACATTTTCGTAGGTCACATAAAAAATTTTGTCAAAACGCTGCATAAAGTTATGATGATTCAATTATTTTTCTACTCTATTTACTCCATGGCAGCCACGCTACATTGCCTCCGTACCATCCAGAAGGACTTCTGATACGCATATTTCCGCAAGTCTGCCATAAATACATTGTTCTCCGCAATTCTAACCAATTGAGGCCCACGGGTAGAAGAATCGTCGATTTTTCGTGAATGTTAAGAATAATCGCAATCGTTGCATTCATAATGACTACAGGTATAGCATGAGGTACTCCCTGGAGCCTTTGCTTCGCGAGAGGTAGTCTGGCCACATTTGCAGCATGTCATTACGGTCTGTGCATCAACAACAGGGCCGCCGAACTCGCCGAGGTTGGTAGGATCATTCATGATTGTATCCTCAGGAAGGATTGGGGTGATGCGAGGTGGAGAAACCATGATCTTAACCTTTTGATGACACATTATGATAGATGCTTTGATAAGCTCTTTGGTATCTAAGAAAGTATAATCTCAGTTGAGATTATGGATATTTCCTATTGTAAGTTGATGTGACGCTGCTGAGTTAAGAGGTCGATGTTGAGGTTATCCTGTTTTGAGTTCGTGTTTCGGATTTTGACTGTTGTAAGATGGAAGATGCGTGGAAGAGATAAAGGACATCTAAGTAGAGAGTCACAGTGCCGTTGTTCAGCTTAGCCTTACTGAATAGGGAAAATTCATTGGCATTGTTCCTAGAACGATGCTATGTTAACACCCATACGGGAGGTTGCGTATCAGCAAGTGTTTAATAGCTATTCAATAACATTTTCATAAAGGAAAATGTACCCGTACAGAAGTATTAAAATTGGATGGCGTATCATTGCTCTGAGTTTGTTCATGCGAACATTATCAGCTGGGTAAATTCTTGGATATGAAGATTAGGGTCTCACAATTTTCTTCATCGTACACCAAATTCCCAACTCCTAGGCACTGTGTTGCAAGAACGGTGCAAGATAGAACTTCATTCTACCGTATTTTTTTCTTGCAAAAAGTTTCATCATTTCGTTTAGATTGAAAATGACTGGTACCTGGACATGAAAGCACATAAATCATGCAATATGCAATACCTAAATCTTACTAAGCTTAATCATTCTTCCAGAAAATCTTAACTCCAGAGGAGACTCACCGAGGCAGCCGCTGGCTGATATGACTGCAAGAAAAGCCATCATGCGAGATCAGTCTCTGTCATTAAGTGCGGAAGTTTTCCTTAGTCATGAAGAAGTTTACCCTCGCTTGCTATGAGTGGGCTTCATTGCCAAAATGCGGAATCATCCACGTCCAAAGGCTGAGCTCATTACTCACAGGGTCTTTCAGTAAGTAACGAGTAATACCCAAAAAGTGATTTTGCCATGAATAATAATGGGAAGAAAATCCAGCATCTTTGCTGTCAAAACTTTATAAAGTTTCGCTGTTGCCCATTCTTGAAGAACACCCAACATCAACACAAGATTAATAACAACAAATACAAAACAATAAATTATGTCTCAATTCCAAAAATCTTACTTTGAAATGTATGACCATCTTTCCGACTTAGACTCTAAAATCTCGGGCACTCATTTGGAGATAAAGGTAGCAACACCAGAAAGTGCAACGCCATCCACCACACCGCGCCCTATAGTTCTTCCAGGGGTAGAAGAGTTATTTTCGCAAATTGATGAATCTTTTGAAATGTCTAGTCCTGTCCCTAAAAGCGCCCCTTCGACTCAAGACAAGGCAACACAAACGTCCGAACTGCCACTAGGCAATCCATTCTTCATTCCGAAGCCAACACATGTCGGCGATGGAATAAACGCCAACTACATGAACTCAGACTTTGGAAGTGGCATGAATTTTCATCCCAGCCTAGATCTTTTCGAGGGTATCAAAGTCCGTGATTTTGCAGAGGTGCGTTTTAATACACCGTCGGCAGGAGGAGGTATATATGAACCGGGAAAAGACATCGCTCACTTGTTTCCCGCACAGAATGCTGGAAATCATGCTCTAGACCCACATCCTTTCCATACATTTTCTTCAAAGCCGGGATCTGATACTCACCAAATGCTGTCTCTACCACCATTCTCCTCGACCAAAGAAGCACCTCTCGGCCTCGGCCATAAACCCACAACTTCACACGACCATAGCGCGCACCAAACAAACATCGGTAAAAGATATGTGGCAAACCCGATCCAAAACGCTAAACCCTTGGGTTCTATGTCTGGAGCTATTAAGCAAGCAGCAGGTTCCAAGCCATATTTTGCGACTACAAATCCTATTAGCACAGCATCTGGAAGCAAAATGTTCTCAACAAGCGTGAAATACCCAAATTCTAGGTCTACTAGAGCAAAATCTCCAGCCATAAGAACCCCCATAGAGGACCCCAAGCCTTCCAGACGCCCATATGAAAAATATACAATTCCTGATTCGCCTCCAACACCCAAACCACGTCATCCAACGCCACCTCTCACTCCGATTCCGCAACTCCCTCCAGTTTCACAACCTCATCAAGTAATCGACCCATCTCTCGTCGGAAGAGCACCCCAATCTTATCCAAGCTCATCGACTGTCACACCGAACAAACGTATATCACCATTCCAAGGAAATGCACCACGGAAAACGTCGGTGCCAGCAGTGCTTCCACGGAAAAGATCTGCTTCTCCATCTATCGGGCCCGCAAAACGTATAAATCTACAAAAGAACTCTGGCAAATTGCATGACAGTGCGAGCAAACGAAGCATTAAATGATCATGGTGTGAGAATTGGAGGAGGTGGATGAAATAGTTGGATTCTTTGATTCAGTACTTTCTTTCATATTTCTTTATATTTTTCCGTTATTGTGTTCAGCTGGTTCCTCTTCTATGGGTATTTTGGATATGTCACATTTAAGGTGTAGTTTGACGAGGGAGGTACTTTAATGTGGATGATGAATGTATCATAGTTCGATGAGATTCTGGAAGGTTAAATTTATATTTTCGCTCGTTTTTAACGATGCCATTAATGAAGAGTGAATAAGTAATTGAATTTTTACTTTGAATTAGATCTGATGTCGTCAATTCTTGTCGTCTACATGTGGAATATTGTGAGCTCAGGCTCATTCCACAAAATCGTATGCCTTGGGTTGGCATTACACCCATCATAGTTCGGAATCTCCAGGAAGCCTTCGCACAATGAAGTAGTCTTTGCCCTGGAATTCATATATTATCACGATGATTATAAGATCACATCATGCGACAAAACTTTATGTTAAAGATATTATTAAAAACCATCGATCAAGCGCCAGAACACATACACATCTCCTAAGCCCAGAGCCTCCACACACGATCTTCATTGTTATCCATATTGACAGGTCTTTCGCATGCTATAACATCTTCCGATGGTTCAAGTTATTTATTAAAAGCCAGCTTCGAGCATTCGATGGACACTAGAATCTCAGTTAATCAGTTTGAATCCATACAGTATTCGGATCATTTGAGCACTGCATACCTAGGTCACTCATTCTGTTTTCCTCCACGAATTCTTGCCGAACTTCGTCTTCGTCTTCTTTCCAAAAATGCGCGCTGTACAAGCTGACGTCCCTGGTGAGACCATCAGGGCCGCAGCTCCGCAGATAAGTCCTAAGTGGCATTTCGGCCATGCTTCCATCACGGATCTTGGTCCAAAGCTGGTGATTGTTCTTGCAGCATGCCATATATGTGGAAATAGTTCCATAACTGTAGTCTTCAATCAGTCGATTGTCATTACTGTAGTATTCGGGGACGCGATTTTCCGGTACCAAGAGTACCCCATTATGGCAGTCGCCAAGTCGAAGGCAATTCTGAAGAGATTCGAAGAGCTGCGTATACTCGCGGCAAGGATGGACAAATCTACTCCATAGTTGCTATTCCTGGCTGTATGGTGAGAAGATCATCGGGCGAGTCTTCCAGGGGTCTATGATTACCTGAAGATTGTGGGGAATATATGATGCATTTCGACGGCCCCCCTGCACAATTATGTTGAGAATCGCATGCATAGTTGAGATGGCTTCCAAGGCGTCCATGCATATCAATGGGCTCACTTCGTTCAGGGGCCGATAGTAAACCATTTATCTGTGGCTATTCGAGTAACGAAGGGACCAAAAGTGTCCCATCAAAGAAAGGTTTATTATAAAGAGGATGTTTTTCATCCGCCGACTGAAGCTCTTCTTCTGGGAACCCGAAAGTAAGCAAAAAAACCAGTCCTAATGATGGTAGTATTGGGTTAGGCTTCATGAAAACGGATGAGTCGCGAGGGTCTTGGGCTCGAAAGGAGAAACGAGGTTTGGATTATCGAGAACCGCCTGTTTGCCATGCATGGATGCCATGTACTCCTTGAATGTTCCAGGGGCCTCTGCTGCATGCTCCAGACTAAGTGGTAGGATTTTGAGTGAAGTAGCGGTCTTTTCGAGGCTTGACGGAGGCATAGCTGTTGGAGATTCCTCGTTGACAATTATTTAGTACTAATTTTTGATGGTTTATTAGGTATTGGTGATCTATTAGAACAGAGTTCGAAAAAGGAAAAAATGGAATATTCGAATCCTATCAAATTTGAGAGCAGTGGGCAGATTTGTGACTATTTTTCGAGATATTATTGACTCATTCTACATTACCTCCACGATGATTCTAACAAGTATGCGTATAGATGTTGCGATATTGACTCGCCTGCTTGAGCTTCGCTTAATACCGAAAATGCGATCTCTTAAACCTTCGATTCCCAAAAGAAATCATCAACAGCCATTACGCCCTCGATAGTTCAAGAACAGGTGCCAGTATCTGCAAGCCTTACACTGTCTCCTCATAGATCCCCAGCAAAGCTTCCCGATGGTAAAGCTTAATTTCAGAGGAACTCTCCAGGCGCGGCAAATGAGCCGTCCCACATTCTGTTATTGAGAACCAAAAGAAGGATGTGCCAAAAAAGATTCCACGGAGTTTTCAGATGACTGTGAAGCAACAGCATGTGAATATTCCATTCACCTCGGGGAAAACATTCGTAAACTTCTTGCATGGGAAAACAGCCTCAACTGCAATAACGAGGAATCTATCTTGAATTACGCTTATGAACTCGAACCGACATGATCTGGTACCTGCACTGTTCATGTTAGAACTTTCGGCTTATTTGGAGCATCACAACAGTAAAATATTCCCTCTTTCGATATATATTTATCTTAATAATAATCTCCGCGTCCACACCCACTCACTAGTCCCCTCCTCCCCTATCTTTCTCCCAGATCATATCAAGCCTGTTCCATCTTCCTCTCGCGATGCTACTTTCCGCACAAAAAAACCCTAGCTATTCCTTCCGGTTTAGACATATTACTGGCCAAAAATAATCCCACCTTACAAATTCTAGAAACTGTCCTTCCTACTCACAACTCCAACTACAAGAAACCAGACCCAGTTCAAAGTCCACATTCCGTTTTGCCAGCTGCTGCAGTTGAGAGATTAAACGTCTTGATTTATCTAGACATTGCACCTGCACCTGCACCTGCACCAACACATGTCATTTCAAAGAGACACTCTAATGATATATATCTTATATTGTAATCTCCTAAAAAAAAAAAAGTAGTAAACAGAATTTTCCTCGACGCCGGATAAAGGAAGTCCTTGGAGCTCCCCATGCATTACACTATCCAAAATATTCTACGTAATCCATAAAAGCCTCTATATCTACCAGTCAATATCGGAGAAAAGAAAGGTCAGAACTTACAAAAGTCTTATTCATGAAAACTGTTTCCAGGGTTTCCAAAAAAAGAGAAAAAAACTGACGATTCTGAACCTTTTTTCACATTCCAAATATCTGTACATTACAAAATTTTCCAATTGCGACTTCGCTGAACTTCTGAACCACTATTCAATATTTAAATATGAATCATCACAATGATAGCTGATACTTGTATTCTCCAGTTGCTCAGCTTTGCCACTTACAAGTGATGATGCATTCTTTACTGTGTATATTGTCAATCAACTTCGGGAATATCTAACCCTATCTACACATCCAGTAGAAAAACTGGAATCCTGAGATACAAATCGTAAGTCTTCTATAAATAGGGTATTGCAAGACATCAAACAAGCGTATAGTGACACTACTCGTACCTATCTTATCTTTGTATGCGTGAATTATGCAAATCCGCCTTTCTCTTTCTCCTCATCTCCCTTCAATCCCTACTATGAAACCACTACATAGTGCCATATCAATCGATCTTTATACCTGAGATCTCCTTTCATGGCGTGTATGACCCACCTTATAGCAATCCAGGACAAATTCTCAAACACTGCAACAACTCAGACACAAGAACTCTTCCATAAACTTGATCATGATCATCAACACCCACACTAAGAATGATCTCATCGTTCAGAAATCCAACACCTTTATCTCTTATATCTCCGTCGTCTTTACTCCAAGCATATGCAATAGTAGTGGTATAAGTGAGCTTGGCCCAAAACCCACGACCTTCCGACAAGGCTTCTGGAACATCATTCCAACTTTCGTCGGCAGTCCAGCCAGTGGTTGTTTCATTTGAAAAGAGAATAGGGTGTCGGCTCATGGCTAGCATACTAAAAGGTGGTTTTGCTGCCCACATAACGAAGTATCTTTCATATCGTATCGGGAGGTCCAAAACGTTTTTGTGCTTGCGATGAATGGCTGCAATGAAAACTGTATCTGGAGTTTCTGAAATACAGGTAGAATTAGTTCGAGTACAAAGAATTAATTTCAATGCAGGTGTGGCCTGGTGCCAAGTAGCATTCGCCATGTATCTGTTGAGTCTAATCTCCTCTGGTGTTGCATCGACGAGACAGGAGATCTCGTTTGGGTCCGTCAAATTAGTTGTTGTGAAACCACTACCAATCAGTTTTGCAAAAGTGCGCGTTGACGAAGTCAACTCATAATGGATGTATGACGAGGAGGAAGTAGGTGAGAATATAAACCAATTTTTCTCGTATGATCTTCGAGTTTCTGGTGGATTTCTTGTTAACTCGGTCAAGATTGGATAAGATTTCAGTGGTCCTCCAAAACGTTTCGGCGAAGATGAAAAAACTTCCTCCAGTTCAGAGTATACGGAACGAAGATCAATAGACCATAACCCGATGCAAGCATATCGCGACCTAGCAATAATTTAGTGGCCAGTATCTGGAGAATGTACAAAGAAGCATACTGGGAAGATACCATCAACACTGGCTCTCCTCTTCCAGAATAGAAGATCCTAGGATCATGGAAGCCAGAAATATCGGCAAGGCCTTCCTGATTTCCTTGGCAGCTTTCTGCTGGAGTGGGAGGGACATTCACTTCAATAGGTATATCTTCACACCTCAATCCTCCATTGCTGCCGAGAACTTCGATATCTTCATCCGTACAGACTCTTTCTTGAACACTTCCACTAACTTCAGCCCTTGGGTGACAGATGTTTGCTTCGCACAAGACATTGACTCGATAACCGCGGTCCTTTAAGTACACCATGCTCACGATCAAATACTGATTCTTTGCCCAGTAGGGCAGAGAAAAAATTGTTGGATTCCAGAACGTCCTTGACTCTGGAGATCCATGTCTAGGTTTCATGGAAATGTTGTAAAGCAAATTAGGAAGTCTCAGATGGTTCGTAAATTTGTTGATTGGATCGGAACAATGTGCGGTGAGTTGTATTAAAGCTTGTGGGACAGTATTTTTCGAAGTATGAAGCGTTTCCAAATTTCCGTTGCCTAGATGCGCCCATGATTGACCAGTAGTCTTTGAGTAGTTCTTAAATGGATGAGATATTGGAACTCGAATCGGCGCGTCGTGCTTTTTGGGGTTATAGATTTTCTTCCCATATCGAAAAGAAAAGAGGTTAGAGATAGAGATGGCAATCCAGAGGAATATTATGAGTGGTAAAATGAGCCTTTTTGGGAATTTAATCGCCATCATCTAGATGGTGAAGGGAGAGGGAACAATAATTGAAAGGTGAGTATATGTGTATTTCCCATTGGTGACTAACAACTGGCAAATTTCAGTGTTTCGTCGAAGGAAAAGACAGAGGAAGGGAGAAGGAAGAAAATAAAGATATTTCCTATATCAAAAAATTGTAGCGTTTGGCCGCTTCCAAGCTTCAGGATTGGCTATCAATTGTGGAATATGGAAGGTCCAAGTCTGAAAAAAGAAGCTGCGAGATTCTCGGAAAATGCACTTTCCCACTTGTAAACATTTGCTATATCTTCAAATTTATCGCCATCAATAAGTTAAGCATGAACACAATCTTTGCATTTTGATCACAATAAATTTCTTTGGTACTTTCTTTGCTACTATCTTGCTCTTTTGCTCAATTTTGACCACATTTTGCTCATAATGGTTTATATCTCCCCTTTCTCAACTCCGACAGCAACTTCGACTGCAACAAGTGGAACACCGATTCGACCACAAACAAATGACACAACACCATGGTCAGAAATTTCGATGGAGAACTGGCGGAATGATGTGGATTTCAGGAGTCCACCACCAGCTTACGACGAAGAGGCGCAGCCAGAAACGCACCACAGGCTTTATAAAGCTAACCTAGAGAACCTCCACAAAGCTATATGGCTCACTGTATTGATAATGATTTGTTTTTGGTTTTGGTTGAGTCAACAACAGCAAGAGATACGCTTCCATCAATACGACACGGAGATCTCCACAGTGAGGCCATCATTGGACGGGCTTCACTTTATCGACGCAGCCCATCCTTACATACGTGTATGTTATCATATAGGTCTGTAAGAAATGCAGTGCTGACACAATGTAGTACGTGGGACGCTGGTCTTCGACTTCGGATGGAATGAGAAAAGATGGTTCTTTTCCAGGCATGTTTCCCTGTCACTTCATCTGCGACTCGCTAACTGAGTCTCCCCAGGCATTTATCTTGATATTGCCTTTAACGGAAGTAGTACCATTCTAATATCACTCCATAACTCAGAACAAAAGGCACATGACAAAAGAACAAGTTTACAGAATAAAACTGCGAAATCTGGACTACCACCACTGTTGGATCACACGAGCGCAGAGCCTATCTCTTTGCTTACCCAAGTTGATGACGAAGAATATGTCATACTTCCAAACGCAACATCGCTCGTGGCTATTCGAACAAAAGATCTCGATCCTCATTCTCGGCATCTCATCCGAATAATTGCACCAATGGTCGGCAGGGACACGGTAGAAACGTTTCAGTTCCTGGGAGTCTGGCTAGATGAAGGCGGGCAACTCATTCCAGTCCAAGACCCCATGGCGTCAACCAGAAATGCACAATTACACACAAAAGATATTGCCAGTGAGGAGTTCGGTTTTCCCATAAGTGACCTACCCCTACAAAATACCCCGCAGCGCAAGATGTTGGAGATTCTTACGGATCTACCTGGTTCTATGACAGGTCTAGACAGGCGAAAGCATCGGATTTCTTCCAATCTTGCAACTGGAATATTGGGAGGAGTTATGGGCTGGGAATATTTGACGGGTGAGATGTTTGGCAGTGATCATGTAACTATTGGTATGGATGGGATGTGCCTGGTACAAGATTGTATCGGCGGCAGAGGCACTCCGGCAGGATTGGCAGATGTATTTTTCCAAAGGTGACTTCATCAATACCAATACCTAAAAGCTTGCTAATTCCAACAGCGGACCACTTGGTTCTAGGCAATATGCACAACCATGGCTCTTCCAATCTTATATTCCTGATGTGATGGCAAGTGATATTTCTCCCTTGTACTTGCACAAAGTAGATGGTGCTAAATTTCTTAGATTCTCAACATCGGTAATGCCGACTGGGAGTCATTCCGAATATATAATGAGCAATACAATCTGACGACGTGGGATTTGAGCGTACTTTTCGAAGAAACCTATGTTTCCTTAATCAAAGCAATCAGAACCTTGGCGTACCCCAAGTACTCCTCCACTATGGCCGAGACCGCGCAATATGACTATCCCCAACATAGAGCAGTTGATATTCCGATATTTGTGATGAGACCATTTCGCGGACAGCTGGAGCAATCAACGCACTCTGTAGTTGATCGTCTCCAATTTGAGGGAGATAAATCTGTGTTCTGGCTCGATACTTCAGGTTGGCTGAATACCGATCTTGATTTCGAGGGACGGCCAGAGGATCAAGATTTTTTCCTTGATGGTGAAAACACACCCTCTGTTCTCAATTCCGATCACTGATAGCAAATAGAAGAAAGCCCTCGAAAGGAATGGCGTCTGACGGAGAGGGGAAATCAGCGCGTTGCAATCCTGCTACACATGCATGTTTGCAGATATCTTGCACAAGAAGCGGAGAAATGTGCATTCTTAGCTCCGGAGGCATATCAAGGTGGAAATGTTGATCCGGTTGCAATGCATTTCGATGAATACATGAGAAATGAGAAAGAGAGGAGGTTGAAAAAGTTATTCTGGGTATCCCCAGAGGATGAAGGAAAGGTCCAAGTCAAATAAGCGCAATGATGAAGATATGAAAGATGAAGAGTCTTGGAATTGTCATTAGTACCTAATTCATATTTCGAAATTTTGGCAACGAGTATATTTATCTGGCTATCCTTCGCACGTATTGATGCTGTGAGTTTCTGGTGAAATTATAGCCTGAGATTCCGGCGAAGAAGCTTCGGTCTTGATCATAAGAAACCCCAAGTCAGCCCTCTCAAGTGAGTCCCAGGAGTCTTGTTGGACATCCAGGTGACCTCTCGGCGTAAATCTTTCTGGGGAGGCACAGACTCTATGGCAGTTCTAGATTCTTGGAGTCTTCGCGGACTTGAAAAGACTAAGACGGGCGAACATGAGGAGCGGTTATGATCTAACTCATCGGGTGTCGAAGGTTGAATTGAGATCTCTCAGCCTTGTATTGCCGGTTATCTGATGCTTCCAAGGCTTATTGGAATTTGATTGGCCTTCCACCAGAAGCGTAATTTGCTTAGAATCTGATCACGAGTCATTTCGCAAGCGAAGACCACACACATGCCAATTTCTAGAACCGGCAACCGTATACTTACCAGACTCGCCATTTTCCAAAGCGACGCCATTGTGGCCAGTCTATACGACAGTCAGTAGATTAACTTTCAATAGCTTAAGGAAAATCGATACCTTGACTCATGTGCAGAGCTTAAAAAGTTATTTAACACCCGGCGAACCTGGACATTTGGGGACGGTCGATATAGGACGGATGTGCTGAATTTGGATTAGATTCGGTCTTAGTTCCATCACATCAGCATTTAATAAGTGGCAGAAAGCCCACTAGTATTTTTGTCGAGAAAAGGAATAAATATTGCAGCAGCTAAGAGTGCATCGTTCTCGGATCGAGGTGCCTCGGGGTGAAGTTCCTCCATTAAATCCACCGAAAAATAGCCTAGAGTTAGCTGATGAAAATAGGATTCATGTGCATCAACAACTCGAGGCAGCATTAAATACTTCTGAAATTACATTTAAGACAGTAAATTTGACCGCAATAATTTCTGCATAGGGAGGTTATTCAGATGGGTTCAGGGTGGCCTTATATATCCTACACAATTCAAGCTATTTCCATTGAGATTACCAGCCCGGAGCACCGGAACAATTTTTGCCTCTCTCGCTGTCGCTAGATACATTGCCAGATTGTCTTTTCCTTGCACGACTCATGATTTTGCCCGGTTTATGTTGTTGATCGACCATCGCCAGCATCTAGATGCCACTGTGAAAAATATCCAACATAGGAATAGATACTTAATGAACAATTAGCTGCCTAAAGTTGAATATTAACCTGGGTCTCATTCTCAATGATGCCGTATAGTTACTACCTTAATGGGCTATGCACGACATAATCATTACATGCAGAGTAACATCGGCCGAAAACGACGCGGCGACAGACTCGGGTTATTCGTTTTAAATCACAAAGTGATTGACATTTTAACAGAGCTGACTACTAGAATCTAACTCGATTAGGTTACCGTCGTTGTGTCAATGACCGTTTGATGCTGAGGCTGAACTAAGGATGTCCATCAACTTGAAAATGTTGAACGTCACATCAATATCACTTCGATAACGCATCAAACATACGAACTTTCAGGAAAGTTCATATTGATACCGATACCTGATGCCACAGCCTTCATTACACGTTCTCATCGCTGTTGGGCCTAATATGGCAAGTACGATGATGAATGGGTCTGTATAATCAGGAATCGTAGCTCCAATAATAAGATAACCCTCCTCATACCTACAAGGATAGTACATTCACTGTAATGGGCATTCCTGTAGTGTTTTGTCTCTGCCAGAGTGTTAAGGAGCTGCTGTTGATTGTAGAGCTGCCGATTACTTCTAGGTAGCTATAGCAACCTCGTTATCACGAAGTTCGTGAGCTTCGAGCTTTAAAAATCACGCACAATTTAGAGATTTAGGTTGAGTCAAATATCTAGACAGGGTTTTTGAAGTGGTTGATGGTCTCGATGCTGCTGAAGTCCGCTCGCTATCTGCTGTTCCTTGTATTGGAATCGATGATTCCCAGATACTTGAATTTTACTAGATCGAAAATCATTTTTTTCTTTATCTCCTACGTCGGATGGACGTTCTGGACTCCCAAGAACTCCGCGTAGAGTTCTGTCCGTTTATTTTACTTCGTTTGTTGATGGGGCAACATACCCAACTATGCAATTATATGCTTCCAGATATCGGAAGTCAACTTTCCCAAGTACATCTTTCTCCTTGACTACATAGTCGATCATAGCATAGATTGAATAGTATCTTCTGGTAGTTATGACTCTCACTTGAGACTTGAGTGTCAGGTCTGAAAATTCAGCTACTCGTTTATTCGGCCACCGCAGTGATCGGAAGTCTACATATACCTTTCCTCACTCCTCCCTATTCCTGCATTCTACCAGCTTCGTTTCCATCTTCGACCACGTACCCCACCTACACTTTCAGTATGTAGCCTCCATCACTTCCAATGCTATAACATTCATGCATACAATATCCTATTCCATATCCTAAATCTCTCCTTCCGCCCATTTCTCAGTACATATCTCAGCACAACAACCCAATGCATATATCACATAATATAATGCATCTTATATTTCCCATCCTATCCTATCCCTATCCTATCCCTATCCTATCCCCATCCTATCCCTATCCTACCCCTATCCTACCCCTATCCTATCCCAGTCTTTATCCCTATCGTCCTATTTATCCCTATCCCTATTCATTCCCAATCCCATCTCATCCCATCCATACAATACCTAACATTCATTGCATCCAGAACAAAAGCTACTCTCAAACCTAAAACATGCTACCCACCTCCGTCTTGAAGAGCGTTCTCGCCGTTCTCGGTGCATCTGCGGTCCTTGCGCACAACTCCATCACCTTCGTCTCCTACGACAATGAGGCAAGAACCTTGTCCTTCACCAACAACCCAGGAAGTAGCTATTTGAGCGACATCGACTTCCCCGGAGGAACAACAATCCGAGTTGATTTCCCTGCCGTCTGGGTCGGTACCGTCATAGCCAAGAAGACCGATTCCGTCGCCCCTGTCCATCGAGTCCTTGCCGAGATGAACTTCAATGCTGGTTATGAAACTTTCTACGATATCAGCGCCATTGATAACCATACCGACAACTCCGGTATCCACTTCATCTCTCCTTACGGAGTAATACCCCTCACCAGATATCATAGACCTGGTTGCGATGTGTTCCCTTGCGACAACGCCTATCTCAATCCCCATGACCACCACACCAGATTCACCAAAGCAACTGATTTCCTCTGCGAGGTCGGTACCAAGAACTAGACGTAAGTTTCCTATTAACTTTACTACATCTAATTTTTTCACTTACTGGCCAATGCTTAGCTCTTCTGCGAGCGCAAGGTAGCATTCGCGGGAGTTTTAATCTCGGCTTGTCTTCAGTCTCGGCTACTTAAGCTGTCGGTTTCGGTACCTCATCAAAGCACACTATCGTTTCGGACGGTTCTTCTAGTTGTATAAGTCTGGGGTTATTGAAGCTCGAGGATATACCCTGGGATTAGGTCTAATTTGCCAAAAGTTTGGTAGTGGACTCATTTCTTGGGTTTTTTTGCGGTGGATTTAGAAATTGTAATATTTTCAGATGTTCATTTCTTTGTACACATCAAAAAAAAAGTCTTATAGTTATCATATGTGCTGCCTGTCAGAGATGCACATCATCTAAAGAAATTGATAACATGTAAAAAATACAAACTGAAAATTGCATCAAAGTGAAATAAAGTGAGATGAACTAAGCCTTTGCCTTGAAAAACAGCGACACTCAGATATCGACGGGACATTGTCCCTTGTTGACGAAACTCGAAATTTTCCCAACTAATGCCCTAAAGCTCCCATCATTTCTGAAAGGCTGTTGACGTTTTGACATCCATGTTAATATAACAAGACAGTTTTTAGTCTTTGCGCTACACGACACCGTTAAACTCTGTTTTAGATCCATTGTTAGACTCAACGGCAAGTACAATTATGGATCTATATAATCGGGAATAGTGGCTCAATACTATACTCGAGTAATAAGACAACCTTTCTCATATCTATAAGAATAATCCTTTCACAGTCTGAACCCTATCAACGATGAAAATGCTGGCAGATATCAGTACCGGTACGATCAAAAAAATTATGGAGGTAGGTAAAGTGGATGAAGTAGGGGTGGATTTTAAGAGCTAAACCGGATCAAACAGAAGGTTAAATCGAATCATCTTTCAGAATGTTAAGAGTAATGCTGATTGATGCTGTCACTAAACCATCATGCCCCAATAAGCATTAAATCCCGTTACTAGTCATTTACTAATAGTCTTGCCGTACGGCATCCGGACGATTAGTCTGTGATTTTATTAGACTAGATGGGCTACCCTGGGACTTTCAATTGCAACCCTGATTTTTGTACTGAATAAAGTTTATTGTATCATGAGTTCAAATTTACTCTATGGTTTAACAAATCCTCAAAATTATATGATATGATATTATTATTTAGTTCAAAAGTTCATTTCATTTGAATTATAGTTTAGCTTCTATTAATTATATATTATCCTAGATAAATGATTCAACCTCTCCGATGGACTTAAGCTCGATTATTTCGTTTAAAACATATATCCTGCAGTCCGGATTATTGGATATCCTAAGCCTTTCTTCCAGAGGCCAAAATGCCCCCAACAGACTCATAATCAAGAATCTCAGCAACAAGACTACGAAACTCCCTTTCAGGTTAGAATTCTCAGAGCAATAGGGAAAAAAATCCAAAAATGCTGAATCGCAATATTCCAAATCGGATCAGACTATTTCAGATGCTCGAGGTCCCTTCCGAATGGTCAGCTAACTTTATTGCTTGACCCCAAAAGCAAAGGATCATCTTACACTAGTCTAGTTAATTTTTCCGCAACCCGATGGTAATAATCCGAAGGATCCCAATTATTATCGATAGAAATACCGGACATGGTATGGTGTCGATACCGTTAACACTCATGGGGTCAGGGTGGTTTACACGTTGCGTATCTTTGCTCGAGGAGGGGTAGGAAGGCTGGCTGCAGTTTTTTTTCCTGTAATGAAGCCTCCAGACATTCGAAGCATGGTTGGTAGAAGCACAATACACACCGAGGATACGACGATTGTTGCCGAAATACAGCCACCAACGTCTTGAAGCATATCCTGTCATCATCCACGGTTGCTGATACCCATCTTTTGAGACGTGCACTAACTCTAGCTACAGTCTGCCCTTCCTTCCTGACCCCAGTCTCAGTTTCCGTCTCAGCCTCGCTCCTTTTTGGCTTCAATGTCGACATCGACCTTGAAAACTCTTCCATGTAATCGCTTGGACTACTGTCTACTTATATTCACTGCCTTGAAACTCACTCTCACCATCACAACACACCTTCGATTGTTATCAACTAACGTTCTTACGTTCTGGTCTCGGCTCCCTTCAGCGATTTCTCAAAACCATCTTTCAATCATAATATAACACGCATCCTCAGCATTCGGATATCAAAGCTTTCTTCACCATTACACCAAGAATTCCTTTGAGCATCTAACGCTGGCTTACTCGGCATTTAGGTCTTACTCCCTCTTCAGTGCATCAGAAAAGCACTCATTTACTCACTTCTTGCTGGGGTTCTCTGCTTTTGGCTCTCGACTTGCCCTCAGTCTTGGTCAAATTCGCATATCTAATATCTTCGCTTCAGTCGCTCCAGTACTGAGGATGGTGCATTCATCGTGGGTAATCGTCAACACGCCAGCATTATACCGACAGGAGACGTCCTTCCTTTCCACGGAGTCCAGTAATGGTCTTCGAGGTGTCGATAGTACTTATGATTCATCTATACGGTCCTTATGGATCTTATTGATTCAAGGCTGAATCAAATTGCCCTTCCTTCCATTGAAAGTCTTTTTTATCCCAGAGTCCATTCTAGCAACTGGAATGCTTCAAATCCCGGCCCTGACATCAAGATTGGTATAGATATATGTGATGGCTGATAGCACCACACGGTTACCTACCTACTATTGATAGATAGATAGATAGATAGAAGAAAGAAAGACATGGTAAACAGTGAACTGATGACTGCAGTGAGATGTCTCGACAGCAATAGACAACAGCATTCAAACTCGTGATGATTTTTCGCTGACGTCTTGTCAATTGCCGATCGGCCAGAAACGGCAAGTGGTTGCGGTTCCCGATATTCTCCCGAATCCCAACTTCAACGCGTGATCTGCAGCTTTCATTTCTTCTCCACCAGAGCTATTGTACTGTAGGAATCTTACATGTCGATAGATGTTTCCTCATCCCTTTACAATTCCGATATATTGTGTTTTCACTTGAGCGTTTGGCAGAGCCTTCTGTAACCATAATAAAAGGCTAAATCTTTTTTTGTCCATTTTTCCATATATCGGATTTATTTCTTGATTATATTCTCAAGTACTGCATCCTCACGCACAAACTTCGGCTTGTCTTTCTTTCGTGGAGAGCTGAGGTCTGTGGCTGCAGTGGCTGGAGTGGCTGACATAAATGTAAACGTTTGATTGGTGGAAGCGAGCTGGGGCGAGAACTTGGAAAGAACAAACTGATGATGTATTGCGGGCTAGAGCTCCCTCGGCTTTCTGATGATAAAATTTGCTTCCTTTTCCACATCTGCTGTAGAATAATGCCAAAATAAAAGAGTCATTCATTTGTTTAACTGAAGACGATAATTATGATTCAATAATAGACATTTAGAGATTCAGTTTTATTTATTCAATTTCCTCATTCTCGACGTAAAAGTAAGCTTTACGGGTGGCTCTTATCCTCAAGATCCAGATCTTTCCAAAGCTTGGATTCATCACTATTCTTAACACGCGACCTTCCACAAGACCCCTCGTCCAACAAAACTCATAAGAGACAATCCCGATTTTGTATAATAATCGAATACGCCAACACGATAATCATCTGAGACATCAATCGCCATGAAACGAGCACGATTTCCTAGCGGGATGGAGCGTCGAAAGTCCTCTACTCCTCACTACCATACCTTCCCTACTCCACCACCTAAGTCTCGCGGCAGACCTCCAATGACATCGACGTCTTCATTTGGTGGGAATGGATCTGCGAATCCGAATTCGAATGAAGAAGAGACTGAAGAAGAACATCATCAATCTCCTCTGCCAAAGAAACAACTTGCCATATTGGCAATCATCGCACTGGCCGAACAAACCGCATTGAATTCGATATCTCCATACCTTCCTCAAATGACCTCCAAATTTCCGGAAGTCGATCCGAGTCAAATAGGATTATATGTGGGAACTATAGCGTCGGCTTTTGCTCTCGCGCAATTTACAACGAATTTTTTTTGGGGATGGTTATCTGATAGGATAGGGAGGAAGCCAGTAGTAATGCTTGGGACTCTTTTGACATCAGCTTGTTTTGTTGCTTTTGGATTCTGTAGGACTTTATGGCAAGCTGTTTTGATACAAGCGCTTATGGGTATGGTCAATGGGAATCAAGGTGTGATTAGTACATGTTTGGGAGAGATTACGGATCGCAGCAATCAGAGTAAGGCATTTGTCTATCTGCCTGTGATTTATGGAATTGGAGGCATAACGGGACCGGCATTGGGTGGATTGTTGATTTTCGAAGAGAATCCATTCGACAGAGGGCATCCAAACCCTTATCCATATTTACTACCGAATTTGTTTGCGGCATCCATATTATTGCTCGACTTGGTGATGACGGGTTGTTTCCTAGAAGAAAGTCTAGAGGAAGCGAAAAATCTTCCACCTTTGAAGCACCGAATGAAAAGTCTTTTCACATGGATCTGGCAATTTGCAGGAGGAGCTCGCCATCCAACCTACACACGAAGCCCTTCTCAACGCGCATTACTTCACGACTCTGATGCCTCGGACGACGAAGACTCCGAAGCTTCATCACTCCTTTCAATGGGCGACTTTTTTCACTCATCCAACGACGCTCATTTGAGCTATAAGGAAGTTCTCAATCGTGATACCGTACTACTTCTCGGTACATATCTCATCTTCCAACTTTCCAACATTTCCTTCAACTCCCTCTACCCCATCTTTGCATCGGCACCTGAGCGCACTGGACGAGCGCTTTCTCCTTCTGAGATAGGTCTTTCTCTCTCCTTTGCAGGAATAGTTACAATTGTCTTTCAAGTCGGCATATTCGGTAAACTTAAAGAAAAGATGGGAAATAAAGCAACTTATAGAGCAGGTTTATTACTTTTTTTCGTTTCCATGATGCTCATGCCTTGGGTGGGATATAAAGATTCCCCTGCATTTTTGGGTATTGGGAGTGGTAAATTATGGTTATGGATCGAACTTGGTTTCGTCTTATTATTAAAAACTGTGGCTGCTGTGGGAGGATTAACAAGTGCTTTATTACTTATTACAAATTCTGCGCCTAATCATGGTGTACTGGGTACATTGAATGGATTGGCACAGACTTTGAGCGCAGCGGGAAGAGCAGCAGGTCCTTTCCTGAGCGGAGGATTATTTACCTTGGGAACAAGAATTCATAATGGAGGATTTCTCACCTGGGGCATTTTTGGTGGGATAGCTTTGGTGGGATTTGTTTTTAGTTGGGGAATTAGAGGAAAAGATTTAGAGAGTGAGGATTGGAGTGAAGAGGAGGAAAGTGATGAAGAAAGTGGAAGTGGAAGTAGTGATGATTTAGAAGCTAGACGATGATAGAGAGGAGGTTTGAGAGACTTTTCATTTTGGCTTTGTGTGTTATATTATTACAAATTCTTTTACTTTTGTGTTTTTTGGTTAGGAAAGGGTTGTATTATAGATGCTTTTGGCATTTTGGTTTAGGGTAATCAAATCATTGGGTGGTAAAGGTGTTGGCGGGCGTAGGCGTATAGAGGGAAAATGGACAGAGAGACAGAGAGAGGATGGTAGACGATCAATGGAGATGCAAACATACATGAGCAACGTACATATATTGTGGACACTAGAGTAGAAGAAGTATTAATTCATTTTTATATCGATTGTTTGGTTTCATTTTCTCTGATGTGCTCAAATTATCTTGTAGATGTTGAATTCTTAAGTCTTAGATATTCTGCAATTTGTCTGGACTCTGAGGTGGATTTTTATAAGTACCTAATTAGTAACTTAGTCAAGTTGATCTTTAGGAATGATGATAGGATGATAATTACTGGTAATTAATTTATTACTCAATCAAGTACCTAGGTAGATATATATTGATATTTATTTCTTAAGGATAAGATGGGATGAGATGATGATAGAATATTAAATATTCATTCTTATCTTGCCTTCTTTCTTTTATCTATCTATCTACGAGTAGAGTAGGTAGAGTAGGTAGTTTCAGGATGGGATAGGATGAGATTTATTTATACCCCTGGATTAGTGATGGATGGTGGGAGGAGGGGAAGGGAGGGGCAGGATTGGTGGATTGGTGGATTGGTGGATTGGTATGATTATTTTGGGTTGGGTTTGTTTGATGGAGATTTGATGGTTAGATGGTTACGGAGTTAGATGAAGGAGGAAGGAGGGAGGAGGGAGGAGGGGGGAGGAAGAGAGTTCTGTTTCGATATTGTTTAGTTACTTTTTTGGAGGGTTGTGAGTTCTGTCATCTCATAATATCACTTTGAGGTAACTCTGCAATCTCAGGATGTATATCTCTCGATTTTCTTTCAGGTTTATACGCGGTACTGATTCTGAATATATAGTCATGGCGTCTGTATGTTCACAAGACTGATGGACAGGGGAAATGATGAGGGGGAATGAGGATAGACAATGACTACTGATTGCGGTATTGATAATGGAGGTAAGTGTCAAGAATATGACGGCTCATTTTTGTGAAAATCATTCGTTCAAGAGGTCAGGTCCTTAAATTTATTACTTTTGGATAAAGCAGCTGGTGATCAGAGACTAATGTAACACGTGAGACTACTACTCACCACAGTTCTATTTCACACAAATACTCTGCATTCTGGCCAGGCCTATTTTAGCATATTTTTAGATTCCGCTAAATCCTGCAATGCAAGACTTCGACCTGAAGTTCTGATGCACTACAATTGTAATACGGATTCAATTCATCGAAAGCTCACACGATGTCTGAAGACTTGTCGTCATATGTGCTTAATTCAACTTTCTCGCTGGCCTCACCATCCATAAAAATCCTTCTCCTTTTCGACCGGCCCATTTTTCTGGTATATTTGTTGTGCAGCGCTCGACATATTCAAAGCCCTCGGATTCATAGAGTGGACGACCGGCCTCAGAAGCTTCAACTATAGCCTAAATTTCATTCATGTCAGTTCAATTTGCCGATATAAAGTACAACTTCAGGGAGATAATATCTAGATGGTAGCTCCTCGTCAGATTGTACATACCACGTAGCCAAGTTCATCGGCGATTGCAGTTCCCCATTTTACCAAAAGTCGACCTGCTCCTCGACGCTGATAAGCGGGATCGACAGCAAGGATATCCAAAGCTTTAATCATAGGTCAGCAAAATTCAAGCAACAACTCAATAGGTAGTCCAGTCTTACAAACTAAATGGCCTTCAGATTCTTTGATGGCTGTTCGACGCTTAATCAAAAAATCTCGCATCATATATTGAGCCCATTCCTTCTCCTCTTCAGTCTCCCAGTAATCACCATCTAGATCTTTTTCCGGCGGGATGACACCTTTCCAAATGTTCCATTTGGCTTTAGCAATCATGACGCCTGTGTCCGTATCCACCACTTTAAGAAATGTTGTGTGAGGTTCTTTATTCTTAGTTTCCAACATTCGGTTTGCCCCACTGAGCCGACCAGCTGGAGTATCATGATTTGGATAAACAGCCTCAATCATGGGATGTTTGGTTCCAAATGCCTGGCAAAATATCTCGAATACCCGATGCATATCATCATCGTTACAAACCTCAACTTTGAGAACCATAATAACTGATAGAATTTTCAATTGATGTTCGACGTGGAAGGTTTGATTGACTTTTACACATTTCAATTCCTTTTCGTGCTATATATGGTAAGATGACATAGCGTACATCAAGAGTGGAGGCCGGCTATTCATTCCGCAGTTGAGTCGGATATCGGAGTCGGATATATCACAGAAGAGACTGACAAATACCGGAGTGGGTTTACCGATATACTGGTTCTTATATGTTTTATAATGTGACCAAAAGGGTGTTTATAGACCAGCAATTGTATTTAACTTAGAATCTACAGGTGAAGAGCACCTGTAGATGGGGATAGCTACTCTATATATACACAAATGAATGGCCTAGCCGCAATGGCTAGGCAAAAAGAAGTCATATTTATCCCTCCAATGATCTTACTTTACCGATAACCATTGGTACCTAGCACTTGTCCGGATCTGATCCTCAGACCACCTAAATCGTATACTAATCCCGAGTAATCGTATCATGTGTGGACATGGTTAATGTACCTGAGGTTTCTTATATAATAAGGGTGGGAGGAAAGCAGGGGTTTCCGTCACAATAATGATTACAAAGAGATAAAAATTCCGAGCTTAAAATTTAAAATATAAAATCTTTTTATTATTTAAATATGTTTTGTATGTATTTATCTATACTGAAATCCTTTCTATATCAGATTTAATTGATCGAATATTTTAATCCGATATACCCAGGTTCTGTTATACTGTTGCTTACACATGCATATATCAGTCCCCACCATCACAGCGGCAGGGCCTCGGAGTATCCTGATAAAATAAGCCTCAAAACAGCAACCAGCGGCGTCTTACTTGGGCATGACTCTTTTGCACCTTCTGTTCTTTGGCTGCCGCTATAAAACTCTGATACCATTACATATACTTCAATCATACTTTCCGTTTATTTGGTTACCATGATCCTTTAATCCACTGCTCCTTGGCCTCTAAAACGCTATCTTTCCTCGTGGTGCTCCTCTTAGTCCGCTGAGAGAAGTCTCCCTTGAGACGTCACGTTGTTACCCCATTATTTAGGAGATGGGGTCATCGAATCCCGATTTGGAAACACCAATTCTCGTTATTTTATATAAACTTGCACCGAACTGCATATTAAAAGCAGGTTGCGGAATCTGAAACGCTTCGAGTGAAGCATACGTTATCTACTAGGAGAATGTATCATTTCACAGGTTTATATGGCTAAACTGTGAAAGATGCAGAAGTAATATATGTATAATCTATTGCTTTTGTAGCAGCTTCCATTTCTCCAAGATTTGCTCCCATACTACCTCGACATCCAACGAGCTTTTGCTCAACTTTTGCCTCCGGTGGTGATAAATTCCCGCTTTATATATATATTCTAGTTCAAGGCGGCTACTGTCAGTACTCGTGACTTTAATATCACATTCACACTCAAAGGAATAAGTGAATCATGAAAAGAGCATCTTTCTACTTCCATCTCCTTTCGTTCTTCGACTCCTCAATATACAATATTATCTGTCTATCAATATCCAACTTCCTTGCGTCTCCAATTATTCTGGATATCAGGAAGATCAATATGGCTTCAAAACATATCGTTTTATCAGCAGCACTAACAATCTTCATACTTTTACTAACGGTGATATTCATCAACGTAGGTCAACAGCCAAAATTTTTACTCGACTTTCCTATCATCTCCCTTGATACCACCCAATTGAAAGCCAATATCTTTCAAAGCAGCAACTACAAAATACCTATTACCGACGTGTTAAATCTATATTTTCAAACACATTGCGAAGGGGATTACGTATTCACGCGTAACATAAGTCCTCAGCTAAAGAACGTGAGCTGCTCAGCTCCTTCATCTAATGGTATGTTACATTCAAAGACACATTTTAGGAAATAAGATCATTAATATCATTAAGTCAAATTTCTTCCCGCCAATATTATCCATCTCCAACTCTTCAATCCCAACTCTTCGGTGCAACTACAACTTCCTGCTAATAACTTTGCGCATCAACTCGGCGAAATTCAGAATGAGTTCAGAAAATCATATCATGCAGAGCTACATGCCGCATTCATCATCTATACCACTACAATTTGCTTAGAGATTATTGTGCTAGTCTTAGCTTTTATATCATTTCTAGGCATGGATGTTGTTTGGTTCCTGGGAATTTTTTCTATCGTATGTATTTTGCTTTCTCCTTTTCCATCGCTTGCGCCACCAATCTTGAGTCAGAATCCACGTTGCACTGCATTCTTGTACCACGAAACAAACACTAACCAAGGAAATAGTTAACAACTACCCTTCTCTTGATTGGAAATAGCATCACAATGACACTACAACACCAGGCGGTTACGACTATAAATGAGTATGGTAAAGATGTTGGGATTGTGGGGTATTGTGGAACAGGATTGTTGGTATTGATATGGACTGCTTTTGGGGTATCTTGTGTTGCAACGGGAGCATGGGGATGGAGTATGCTGTTGAGGGAAAGTGGGGAAGACAATAGTGAAGTTTTGGATGGAGGAGTGTATATGAATTGCGTTGAAAATTCGGCGAAGACGGGTACAGACAGGCCATTGAGGCTGGCTATGAGAGAAGGGAAAGTAGTGAAGGCAGCCGAGGAAACAAGAATTATGGAGCTCGAGCTTAGATATGTGAGTGAGAGTCAGATCGGGCTTGCTCTGTAACCTCGGCCCTTGAGGTGGGTGGGCAGGGCATATATATAGAACTTCTGTAACAAACTCGGAAATTTAGTCTAAAGTTGATAGAGAGAGAATCTTAGAAAATAATCGTTACGAAGCGTTCATATCCTTTTTTTTTTTTTTTCAGGAAAGACATATAATGAACACTACGTTCTGTATCTACAAATTGTCACGGTAAAGTACTCGATGGCACTCTCTAAATCATATTCCAGATTTCACTGCGCTCCAAGGTTTCATGAGGGGAAGGTTAGATCAAGACTATTTCGAATACAGGAGCGTATGGTCGTGTATATTGTATGAAAGTTTAACTTCACCCCCATTACGCATTACTGCTCTTGGCTAGCTTACCACTCATGTCGTGACTTCCTCGTTTCCTTCCTCGTTTCCTTCCTCGTTTCCTTCCTCGATCCCGAATCGAAGGCATCAAACGACCAACACCAAAGCAAACCCCAAGAATAAATTACCAAAAATATACTACTCCGTAGCCTTGCTCGTGGGACTAGAATCAATCAACGTGAAGAACCATACAAAATCGAATTTTCCAAATCCAAAGATATTATCTCCCTCAAATCACCTAAATTTCCACCCTCACTGCAACTAAAACTGTAAACGTCCCACTTTATCCTCCCAAAATACAACACCAAACCCCAGAGAACAAATCCCAAGCCTGCGAGCAAGCCAGGAAAACTCCCCATGAGATTTCATTACTCAAATTGTTCGTAGCGGTATTTTGCAGTTTATGTTGGCATGCGAACTCTTATCTATTTCTTAAATACAATCTGACCCGTCTAGCTGGCATAAATTGGATACCTATTGTATTTTGTTGACGGAGGTTATGTGTGTTTTTGTTATATGTAGAAATTTCCAATATAGCGTGGATGCTAATTACCAAAATCCAGAAAAGCTGCACAAAAGAGCTATATGATATGAAAAATTCGTTATATATTCGCGGGCCAAGTTACATGTGCGAAATCTAGTAACACAAAACGGCTGTTTCTCATCAGCCATCATCATTCTCTAAAATCCAATCAAGCGCCAGTAAACCGTAGTCTTCGAAGCCTAAGTAGCGTCACACCAAAATTTTGAAGATTAAAAACTAATTCCAGTATCTTATTCTAAAATTGCGTACATAAATCTCACCATCCTGTACTCTGCACGCCTCAATAATGCTTCCCCAACCTCTCAAGCCAATGATTTTCTACCTCTATCCTTAACAGACGACATATCTCCAAAGCCAAATTATGAACTTATGAACATGAACAAAGCCGGACCAAATTTCCCGTGCTCAACCCGACCATGCCGCAATCTGAAGATACTGTATTATTATATTTCTATGTCTGTACGGTATTCGGTCTCTCTGTGTATATAATGGGACTGGTTATCTTTCGGATAGTGCAAAGAACGATTACTAATATTAGAAGGATGGAGATTAGGAGCTTTTGTAGGCGATGAGCGATGAGTGACGAGTGATGAGCGTAGTATATAGTATAGGGAGGGTATCAAGTAAAGAGTAGTGAAAATCCATACGGTGAAAACTGAAAATCGTTAAGAACTTAAAACTTGTGGAATCAAAGTATAAAATGATGAAAGGAGAGATAATTCGTATGCCTATAAGTATTCATACGAAAATACACAAACCGAAGATGTTATTACCGGTGCTTGGAAGTTCTTTTTTGAAGAACTAACGACTATTTGTGTTATGTGAGTATGTCCATATGCCTCAATGCGCGTAAGCACTCTCCCACTCCATGAAGAGAGCAGGGTTAAGGGAAGGTGATATAATTACTCACCAGCTCTAGAACACTCGATTTCCAACCCTCAAACTCTTTCGGATATGAACCACGACATATACACGAGTATAAAAATCTCCTCAATAAATCAAAATCTACCTCCAACTGCCAAAATAAACCAGACATCCACATAATCCTATAATGTCTAAATTCACCAGGAGCTCTCTCACAAACCGAAAACGCATCAGCTGGTGCATTCTTCCTTTTTTAAACAAAGTATCCCACATCACTGCAATCTTCTCTAAATACTCTCACCCTAACCCACTTCCTCCTCGGAAACCCTCCCAAAAGATTTCCTCCCACACATACTAGCCATCTCAAATCATCTCCCCAACACTTCTCTCACATTCTCTCACTCTCATACTCCTTATTTCTCCTCGCCGTATCCTCGAAACAGAAAATTCCAGCATACTCATGCATACATGCCCAATACCAAATAAAACAAACCACCAAGTCAAAACCGCATGTATCAATATCAAAGTACCACTCCCTTTAGACCCTGTAAATACCACCAGAACACCCAATCCTCAGGACCGCCGTCAAATCATCGACTTAACATAGAAAATAATTCGATTATTGAGTTAATCTAGATCAACAATTTAAAAACAAATCCTTCAACTATTTCAAGATCTTACCAAATTTAACGATATGTCACTCAAGGGTCCGAAAATTCATATCGCGTGTCTCTTACCACCATGCAACCTCAGTCACCATATCCCTGGATGTACTCCTTACAAACTCAAAACACAACACGAAATCGCATTAACACCTATTTTTAGTAACTAGAGAAGCATCTCATGAATTTCGGCATCCACTGGGACGATAAGAACTCAAACCTTCAAAATCTCAACTCATACTTCGTCTTCACCATTTTCTACCAATTCCATGTCGACGCACATATACTACAGACACGCATCTCATTATGGCAGCGCACTCGTGAATAATTCTACTACACTCCAAGCTCTATTTCAATGGTCCATCCTGTCTATAAATTGAGATTTTGTGAGAATGATTCAATGTTAGATTTTAATAAGATGTACCAAACTTTATCGCACCAAGAAGAGTGAGTGCTAGATTCCTAGGACGAACATGTTTGATCCTGATGGAAAATTTCGACACGAAGAGGTACGAGCGGTTCGTTAAAATATAACTTCGAATGTAGAATCTTACATGTTTTAATGCAAAACTGCAGTGTCTAGCATAATGATAATTAATTACAGTCAAGTCACAGATATCAAATCCATTAACGCTTCAGTCACAGGACTATTATGAAGAGTCCCTTCAAAGTGAGAAACTCACAACATCTTGGGCAAATTTTTTGAATTAAAGTTAAAAATTGATAGCAAGAAACAATCCCAAAACTAAGAGGAAAAAGCAACTCTCAAGCGAGCTATTCTAAGAAACCTGATGAATCGAAAAAGAAGAAAAAAATGCCACCACAATTCCAATTCCTCAATAAATCCCCCCTGCATAACAAACTGAGACAACAGAAGAAAAGCAAAAAGTTTAGGAATACGGACCAGATAAACCATTTCAAGCTCTTCCATCTGCAGAAAATCACCACTTGGCTTCATCATCTCTTGAAGATGTTCTTCAATTTCTTATCGGGAACACATGGCTTACCATGGAAATTTATCTTTCTATTCGTCTCCGCTCTGGTTATGATTCATTATATGTTGGTTGATGTTAAGCCTAGAGATGAGCCTGAAGCAGAGGCATCCAAGGGCGATGAAGTGACCGACATGATTCCGAGTCCGGCACCTGCGAAGCATGGAAGTCCCGCAGGAACTTTCGAAGAGTTCAAGGCCATGCTTGGAGTTTTTGGTGGAACGGAAACATCTGATTCAAAAGACTCGAACACCTCGGAGAATGCGAGTTTAGAAACCGCGATGCCCGGCCATAAGTTCAAGAAACCATTTCTCGGATCTAAGCAAGACACTCGAGATGACGAATATGTTTCTGTGTGTGTGGCAGTTAAAGATCAGCAACAAGATTTACCCGAATGGTTCATTCACCACTATTATCATCTCGGGATAAAAAGATTCTACATCATGGATGATGGTTCTGATCCGCCTCTATCGGAGATGGAAGATTTGGGGATACCACGAGAGCATGTAACTTTCCAATACTTCAACAAGTCAGAACATACTTTCTACATGCAAGAACACGTCTACAATATCTGTGTCGATAAATACGGAAGTAACCACACTTGGATGGCTTTCATCGACGCCGACGAATATCTGGAGATGACAGGAAACGAAAATTTTGTTCAGTTCCTAGAGTCATTCGAGGAAGACGAACACGTTGGCGCGGTGTATGTTTCATGGATGACGCATTCTTCTGCCGGCCTTTTAAGCAGAGCCAAATCTGTCCGCAAAGCCTACATTGATTGTATATGGGATGGGGAAGGACATAATATATTAGGCAAAACCATATCCAAAGTTTCTATGTATACTGGTACAGACACTGTCCATCAAGTCCAGAATAAAGACGGGGCAATAATTGTTGATGAAAATGGGGTTGAGGCACCTTTACAACGAAGACCACCGACGAAGAATCGAATAGCACTGCATCATTATGCATTGAAGAGTAGAGAAGAATATCAGGAGAAGATTGATCGAGGGAATGCCATGAGTACTCCTAAGGATTGGCAATTTTGGAACAGTGTTGAAGGAATGGCAGGTATTGAATGTCTTTCCATGGCAGGATATTATCCTTAATGGTACCATCCAGGACGAGCTTTAGATATTTTTGAAGTTTGTGTTGGTGAGCTTTGGGTTGGAGAAATTATACTTAATTTGTATCCATATTTCCGACTCGTGATTGATAATATCGTTGTCCGATGGTGATATTTGAGGTTTGACAGAGTATGACTTTAGACACATTCATCTAGTGTAGGACAGAGCTTCACAATCAATATATCCTCCTTACTCAGATATGACCTGTTGAGTGAGGTCGCATGTCTTCATGTCAATGGGTAGATGATGAGTAGATCAGACCAAGTATTGTTTTTCCTGTATCAGGATCAGATCCCAGAAACTTTGGCTCCTGATGGAGCTGTCTTTTAAGCAACAAAGCGTCGAGGTCCAGAATGGGCGATGGTGATTTCCAATCAAACAAAGAATCAATGATGGAAATTCTGTTGTGCACATAACGACAGGTAGAATAACAAAATCAACCTAGCAGCCTTCCTGTCATACATACAACCTCGGGCTGCCATCCTCTTCTGGTGGTACAATGCGAAGAATCACGGTTCGCACCATAATGGCGGTATAAGTGGAGAAGCAAACGCCAAACCACTTGTCCACGCAGATCTTGAGCACATTTCCCCATGCTGCTTTTCGATTTCTTTACCGACCAAAAACAAACATCGCTAAGACAATCCTATAATTTTGTAAAGATAAGATAAGAATAAATACAAAAATTGGTAAAAGCAGCAATGACTCGAGTGAGTTTTGGTAACCTTTTAACTGGATATCGTTAGTCTGAGCGTGTTTGAGCGCTTTATTTTATCCACCTTGGCACGTTTTCCAACACCACCTTCCAAACAAGCATGAATAATGATTTGAGCAAGATAGAGCAGGAAGAGTGCGTGGTAGGGGAAAAGAACAGGGCAAGATGAAGAGGGAATATGAAATCTTCTCAATTGCGGGGCGTAGTTCTTCCTGGACAATACTATTACCTTGATGTCTTCAATAAGGTTACATGCTCAATGATTATTTGACACTCATGAATATTCACCACAAGTCTTCCACCCAGACAGACAATCAGTCAGAAACCCAATATCAAACTCATCAAACCCAACCTTGACAGCCTCACTCATCAAAAGCAATAATTGCTTCATCTTCATCTCATCCGATCTAAGATATCCATATCCACGGGTAACACTGAAACCCTCGCAACGCAGCCACCAGTTCCGAATTCGTACTCCCCAGAGCCTCATACCTTTCTCCCCCGGATTCCCATGCAAAGAGATCTAGAAACATACCCCTCCAACTACCTCAGATCCACTTCCATGCAAATATCTACCTCATAACTTCTCATCGTCCTTACCTGGATCGTATTAAAGAAGTATCTTGTCCTCTTTTTCGACAACATCTATCAATCAACTCATACAACATAACAACATAACAATAATTCAATAATACCCAATCATACATCCTACGATCCGCCGGCGGTTCATCATCTTACGAATCCAACATCACTATACATATCCATCTACCTCTATCCTCTCAATATCAACCCCCGTCATACCAATCCCTCCGCAAAAATGGATATGTCACACTCAGACATGGATATGGGCATGGGCATGAGTAACAGCACCAGCACCACCACAATGGACATGTCTATGATGTCAATGACATTCTTCATCTCCAAAACCACGGCCCTCTACTCCAACATGTGGACACCCAGCACGGATGCCGGATACGCAGGAACCTGTATATTTCTCATCATACTCGCCACACTATTCCGCGGTCTCCTCGCCGTTAAAGCCTGGAAAGAAAGCGCATGGCTAGCCGCAGAAACCAATCGTCGTTATGTGACTGTTGCCGGAAAAGGTCCAAAATCCGAGCGCATCTCGTTGGATAGTGATTCGAAGAATATGGTACTGAGTGAGAATGGGGTTGAGGAGAATGTGGTAGTGGTTAAGACAAGATCCATGGGGATTAGACCGTGGAGATTAAGTGTTGATCCTGTGAGGGCGGTTATGGATACTATTATTGCTGGGGTTGGATATTTACTGTGAGTTTTTTGTTCTTTCTTTTTTTTTCAATTTGTTTTGATGTGAACAATAACTAATCAGTATATAGTATGCTCGCCGTCATGACCATGAATCTCGGATATTTCCTCTCTGTCTTAGGTGGTACATTTCTTGGAAGTTTAGCACTAGGTCGCTATGTCATTGCAGCTGAGCATGATCATTAGACATTCTTTCTAGAGAATAAACATCCTAGATCTACTGCCGCTGGCAAGCAGATTTATAAGAATTAATTAATGATGATGATCATGGGACGGATGAAAATAGGCGCGTATTATTCTGGATTGAATAAATGGTATTCTTGATTAGAAGAAAGGAATTTGGGTATTATGACTCGATAATGAAGCATGATTTTTCAATTACCCAATTTATTACGTGATGATTTTTTTATTGGTTTAGAGGAGTTGGGCAAATGTATTAGTATATGTAGTATTAGTATAAACATAGATATGAATGTAAATATAATATAAAGATTAAAGGTCATTATAAGAGTTCTGGAAACTTTTAATCAAATACTTTATTGGAGCATCGTCGTCTGGAGATACATTTGATGTCGCCGTCGATTATTTTTTTTTTCATTCCGGTACACTTTGAGTTACTTTAATGAACACCGAACTCAGCAAGAGGAAGCTGGGAGTCGTTTTTGGCTCCTACTACTCAGCGTCCACATCGCTTGGGTAGGGGAAGCTTATTTCCGAGAGCGCCGATTTATTCTTTATCCGCATTCGCAAAACTGGTTTTCTAATCATTTATCATTTTACTGATTTAAAGCTATTCCCACCTTCCCCCCAAAAAATTCTATAGTTATTTTTTTTTTAAATAATGTACTAATAAAGCATTAGCAATATATCTATTTACCTCTATTGGATTTCCTTTCAGAAAACATCCAGGCCAAATACGGAGGGCCCCCTATATTACATCTAATGGTGTGGAGTGGAGTACCACATCGTTCTAAGCCATCTCCAACCCATATTTCAGAGTAACATCTTCTCCCAACCATGTCCGCGTCGCCTCAGGTCCCCATAACATCGTCATAATTAATACACCAAGCTCCTCCAGATCCATTGGTTTCGCCTTTGCAATCGCCTCGTCCCAACGCGTAACCCATATCTCGAGTCGCTCCGTCTCTTCTTGAGCCCTACGCCAACCGATTGCGGACTGCGCGTTCCAAAGCGCTGCTTGTGCAGTGAAGCATATATGCAGATCCGTGGGGCTGTCGTAGCCAAGTTTCAAAAAACTGTATACACCCTTCAGCATGAATGTGGTTATAACGGTACGTCGGATGCTTTCGTCAAGGAGCCAGGACTGCCAGTCCGACTTGCGGCCTATTGTCACAACACTCGTGTCTGTCGAATCTGGCGCAGCCAATGTAGTGTCTGCTGCATTGTACGTCAGAGCGCTGAGTTGGCTCGCCCATAGGATCGCAATCGGTTCATCGGCTTCCGCATGGGCTCTGAGACGAATGTCGCCGTCGAAGAGTCTCATCATCTGGTAAAGCAGGAGCGCTTGTAGAGCCGCAAGAAGATCCGTTTTGGAGGCGAGCAGCGCATCCGTGCTTGCAATTAGCTGCTGACATTTATGTTCCAAATTTCCGACTACTAATGCTTGATTTGCCACGCTCTTCATGCAATACAAGGCGCACGCGCTCATTGCATCCTGCAGAGCTGGGGAATAACTCTGCTGGAACTGTATCCGGTGGATGAACATTGTGTGGCCGTACTGTGCGAATGTCCTTGGGATTGTTGCTAGTCGCTTTGCTACGAACTCCACACGAGCCTGGAGTTTTGAATCCGGAGTGATGGCTCGTACGATACCTGGATCAGCACTGCTCGACGCCTGTTGATCAACTTCGTCTTGTATGCTATTGAAGATGAAGTTATCATGACTCGCAAGGTTGAAATGGTTAGGGAATTCGAACAGAGCACCATCCCAGCATGGTGTGAGCAACGACGTTGGATCTGCGTGATATTGCTCCAACTCCCAGTTACTAGATGGCTGTCCGCCCAAACGCTCCGAGATAGGAACAGATTGATCCACGTTGGTATCAGGGCTTCGCTGTGGTTGATGTCGATTTCGACCGATATATTGGCATTCAGAGCCTCTCGCGACGCAACGCTGGCATCTCGGCCATGTTCGGTCGCACTTTCGTTTAGTCTGTATGCATTCGAGGCACGACTTGTGGCGCGATGTGCCTGACATTTCGGCTGCTCATCATTTTGGGCGAAGAAATGCAAGATTCGAGAGCGAATGGTCAATGTAGATCGTTTGCGGCATTGGCGTGCATTCTCGATAGCAGAGATAGAATAAGGTTGCGGAGGAGGGATTAGAGTTCGGTGGAAAATCCGCTAGCGTGCCAATTCTCCGCAAGCCAGGGGTACTGTCGTGCGCAGGGTCCTGTACAACCACGTGACAATAATTTTTTAATTAATCGGTTTGTAAAGTTTTGAGAAACATAATAAATTATTTAAAGTATTTTTAAGCATTTTGACAACTTCAAGAATGTATTATATGGTTTTGACGAAGCTGGCAGGCAGGAAGGTCATGACAAGGATTGGTCCAGCCTCAAAAACAAAGCTCAATTGCTATCTTGGCTCAAAAAGGCCCCGCATGCTGCGACTTAGCAGTATTCTCTTTGCATACAAGTAACGATCAAGCTTAGTATTCGTGATATACCTATCTCTCTGAGCTAACTCATCTGATCCCACAAGCATCACCATCCTTTGCATATAGCAACCTTCCTGATTTTGTTCTTATACCTCTACCTCTGTTTGTCCTGTAAGCTTCCTCTTTCCATCAATCCACTTAACCTCCCAAAGAATCACATTGGTCTTTTTAGTCTCCTTGCCCGATGCCTTCTCCTTAACCGTGCTTTTGCTAAGAACAGCCACCACGCCGTCCTGCTTTTCCGGGTTCTCCCACTGGAGAATCACAGAAAAGGTATCTTGAATCAATGTACCAGAACTACGGACGTGTTGAAGGCCTGACTTAAATTGGTCGTACGTGTAGATATTGTGGTTGATTCTGGTAGTGCGTCTGTGTCAGATGTGCTTGCCAAGATGTTATGAAGTTCGGGTTGCGTACTTAACTACTAAGCTTGGATCAACTTGCTCATGGACGGCTTTGAGGGCGATTTCGTCATTTGGTTGAATGAATAGAGTATTGTTGAGCTCTGTTACCCACTCGCTGAGAGTTTGCGATGGGACTGACATCGTGTGTTGCTATACATTGTTAACAAAACATTGCGGTAACAATTGTGCTACGCACCTATGAGAATGGTTTAGGTTGAAGCGAGGAGCTGAAGAGCGTGGTTGGAATTTTGTAACTTGTGGCAGAAAACGCATTTTATACCTGTTGACTCTGCAAACAATGAGTATCTCGCTTTGGGTCACTCTGAGTTGCATCTGTGCCCAGCCGCCTGGAGTCTACTGGCGTGTGTGGATTTGCGGAGTTTCTACTGACGTGTGCGGATTTGCGGCGTTTCTACGCTCACTTCAGTTTAACTTTCAATGTTCAACAATTAGCGGAGGATATGCCACGTCCGTTCCACCGCACTTCTCTACCTCATCACTCCTGCGGACTTCTTCATCAAAGAGATCCGAACGTCCTATCGCAACAAGCACATCTTAGGGCTGTGTCCACAGGGCTTGGAGTGCGGCGGAAGCGAGGGGGCAAATTTGCGGAGTTTGTTACAAAATGTGGAGGAAAATCGGTCCAACTCCGCAGTGAAACCCACCTTCCGAATCAACGTGCGTTAACTTCAGCAAAGATACCCACAGCTTCCCTCCATCTCTCCAAGCTGCAGCTTTTCGCAACCCACCTGAAGGTCTATAAGATGTAATCAAAGTCACATTCACATGAAACCTCCACATATAAAGACCGTGGACGCCTTGACGAAAGCCAGCATTCATCTACAACCAGTCTTCTCATCAATTATTCACATTTCAGATCATTCATTCCTCAAATATTCACCATGAGTGATATCGAACAGGTTAAAAAACTTGATTTGGAGGCTCCAGATATAGTGAAGACATACCACAAGTCTTCCTACGCCGCTATATCACCTCTCCGTCCTGAGTTATCCCAAGCCGGGAGAACAGTCCTGATTACTGGTGCATCCGCTGGGATAGGATTTGCAATCGCTATGGCATATGCCTTAGCCTCTGCCTCCAAAGTGATCCTCCTAGGTCGTCGTAAAGACGTCGTCCTCAATTCGGCTTCTAGGTTGTCAGACGAGTTCAAAAATACAAAGTTTGAAGCGCGAGTCTGCGATGTTGGAAACGTGGCCGAGTCTGCAGCGCTCTGGTCTGACCTCCGTGCTGAGGGCGTTTTTGTCGATGTCCTCGTGCTGAATGCAGCGAGGTTCGGAGGCCAGGAATCGATATTAGATGCGGGCGTTGAGAATATTTGGTCGCAGTATGAAACGAATGTGAGATCGCTCTTACAATTCACCGAGCAATTGTATAAGCAACAGGGTCACGAGGACAGGCAAAAAGTATGTATGACCTTACTCCAATTTTCCATTTTTACACCACATGCGACATTTGTCTTGCTAGAAAATACAATGGCTAATTACAAGAACATCCAGTATCTCGTTTATATCTCTACGGCCGCAATCCATAGTAAATCAATTGCAGCGGCCCTGCCAACCTATTCTCTCAGCAAAACATCTGGTCATCTCCTATTGCAAAAGATAGCTAGTGAGATTGACCGAAAGAAATTACAAATCGTCAGTTTCCATCCCGGACAGATCCTCTCTGAGACGAGCAGAAATGCCGGTCTTGACGAAACCACGCTTTCTTGGGACGATGGTAAGAACCCCGCTCCTGGTTTAAATAACTCTCCCACTCCTCAAACTGCACTTTTTCATAATTTAGCAAGACAGGATGAAAATTTTTAGCCGGCCGTGACTAACAATACAATCCCGTACAGATAATCTACCCGGACATTTCGCCGTCTGGGCAGCCAGTTCCGAAGCTGCATTTTTACACGGTCGTTTTACATGGGCTGCTTGGGATGTAAATGAGATGCAATCTGGAGACGTCAAGAAGCGCACGGAAACAGATGCGAATTTTCTCACTATTGATTTTGTAGGGCTGTGAGATTTTTTTCATGTCTCTTATATCGAGGTGGATCCCTGGAGAGAGAGGACTTCGATGTTTGCTGTAGCTAGGTGTTTAGATTGAATAAATGACGAATAATTTCCGATGGAGTGTATATCATGTATCAGAGCTAAGCTTTAAAGGACTTCGTGGGCAAACAACGCAGCAGGTACAAAGAAGATACCGGGCTCCTCTATCAATATCTATCTCTACCACTAAAACATATGAAAGCTCATGTAGCAATCTCACGATAAATTAAGGCCTGCTGATACAAGAGCCTCCTTCATCCAATCTACTTGACGTCACCATTGATCTTACCCAATTCGACATGGTTCCCTCCAAACCATCTATTTCTACCACATCATCAGTTATTAGTTGCGCAGCTATTTGGATCGCAGGGCTCGCTAGTCTGAGTCGTTGATGTCGGAGTTACACTCTCGGCATAGATGATAATTTTGCTGGTAGCCTGATCGATTAGCTATCACCGGTATTGTATTGGCCAGAGGTTGCGGTAATGAGTTTGTTGTTGGCAAACAACAAACGAGCAGAATGATGTCCATCCAGCTCATTGGTTTGGTTGGTAATACCATGAGATTCAACCGGGTGCCTAGCTTCCTCGGGCGTGCTATGCTGTGGGCTCGTTGTTCAAATTATGTATCATGTATCAATCCGCCAGAAAAAAAAACGCATTCCTAGAGTTCTAACCAAATTCGAAGTCCGAATCATCGATGAGATAGGAGGCAGGCAACGGCATATCCTGAAATACGGGTGTGGGCTCTCCCCGTTCCGAAGTGTCTGCTAGTTAAGCAGGATACCCTTTTCTTTTTGGTTTCCATTTACGTCCTATATCAGTCTATGACCATCTAGGACGGTGAGAATCTTACGGATTCTCACAGCTAGAAAGGATGTAGCTAGTTTCTTACACCCAGCAGGTAATAGAAACAGTAGGCATATATGGAATTTTTAGAAACATTGTTAGGGGGAACGTATACGTAGCCCCCTCACTCCGCCTGTCGAATCAAAAAGAGGACTTTGTCTTCCTCCTTCGCTCACCTCCTACTTCTTGTTCAAAAGAAACACATGGGCTTCTTACCATCAATGGTAAAGATGCCTAAAATTAGCCTCAGGTAGAACTAAAATATCTCTCCCTCCTCGATATCCCCTTTTTCCCAGCCCTTTCCTATGACAACCTATCTATCTATTCACACTCTTCATCAATCACCTACCACTACATCTATAACACATCACATCCCACCTGTAATCCCGTATTCACATCTTCGCACATCACAATACAACATCAAAACTAGCATCCAAGCAAAATATAAGCTCTATTATCTAAAATTTTCATTCATTGAAATCATTGAATGAATCATCCATCATCGATCATGAAATCATGAAATCATCAAACAAATGCCTAAATAAGGTAAGGGTAAAAGAAAAACAGACAAAGTCCATTAGAGAAAGGAAGAAGGAAGAAGAATGCAGGAATATGCAGTTCAGCGAGATGATATAACCTCATCTAAAAACATTTCCATCGAATCAAATATCCCTCCCAAGTCAATTGCGCATTTGCAACTCCATTGATATTCCATCAATTAATACCCCAAGGGGCATACGAAAAAAATCATTTGGGTATATGAAAACCATCATCTAGATAAACTATCCATCGCAGTATAAGAAACCATGTCCATTAGAGAAACCATTAAAAGATCAAGATGATTAAGCCCATTTACCAAGAAGAGCCATAACGGCTGTTCCGAGTAAAACACAACAGATCATAAATGTAAGTCTCTTCTTATCATGAGTCAAATCTGGGTTGAACAAGAAATCACGAGCTAACAACTCAACTAAACCAGTATAAATCAAAATACCGGCAGAGATAGAGTCGAGGACACCAGAGACAACACTAGCAGTGAATGAACCAGAGTTATAAGTTGTGCGAAGACCAAGACCAATGGCAATGGCAATTGGAGTGGTAAGGCCATATCCAGCGCAAAGTAACCATGGAAGCCATGAAAAACGTTTTGGGAATGGAATGGCAGACATACGAGCACCAATACCAAGACCTTCGAATGATTGATGGAAGACGAGGACGGGGTAAAGAGTGGTAAATTCATCACCAGCAGTACCAAGGTTAAGACCGATGATGACAGAGTGGAAGATGACACCAAACTCAAGGATCAAGAAAGCAGATATTTGTTGACGGAAAGAACGTTCTTCAGACATTTCAGAGGAGATGGTAACTTTCTCTACATCCTTCTCGTTAGAGGAAGAGTTGGATGCTGGACCATCCTTCGATTCTTGAGCTTGTGCGATGCTGTTGAAGAGTTGTTGATCTTGATCACCGGAATGAAGTTGGTTGTGCGTGAGAGTGTTGCGATGAGCGGATTGATCAGTGACAACATCCTCAATGGCTGGACCGTGTGCGAAACCATATTTGCGGTCAACATATTGTTCAGCAGCGAAGTCCATCATGAAGATCGACATGACGGAAAGTAAAACAAGAGCGGGTGGCCAGCTGTAGTCTGCCCAGTGACCAGTCATCCCAACACAAGTGTTTGGGCCAATTTCACCGTAAGCTGGATCAAGCAAACTAAAGAAATTGTTAGCATCACTTTACCCGAGGAGAAGCTGTTCAGAAGAACTTACTGAATGAATGCAGTTGCGATGATAACACCAGCACCAAAGTAACGAGCAAAGAGGTAAACATAGATATTGATTTTAAGCCATCTGACTCTCGCAGCAACGACGGGAAAGAAGGTAGCAGCCGACGAGACAATCAAGATAACGAAGAGAGCAGAGATACGACTATCATGAACTTGTTAGCATTTGATGAAGGGAGTGATGGAAAGGAAAGAATCAACGTACGCGCCCAATTTACCATTATACTCATTTTCACCAAGTTCGAGATAGCAGATAACAGCTGTTGGATCAACCGTGTCCAAATCAACCATATTGGGGTTGAAGTCAGTCATCTTGATGATTGAAGATGAGAGAAATCGACGGAAGAGGTTTGTCGCGTTGTAGTTGTAAATGTACTTGAAGAGATGATGAGGCTTGATAGATTATCAGCACCAGTTGAGATGATGTGATGGCTAAGATCAAGGATCGACAGACACAACAACGTGGTTGAAAAGGACAAAAAAGCTTAAGTGACGGAAAAGTCTTGTAACTTGTGTTGTGTGGATTTAAAAAGGATCAATTCCGCTCTCAAAATATGAAATACTTATAAGCCAAGAAGCATAAAAGTCTTTCCTCGATGAGCGATCGTGAGCACCTTGATAGCTGAATAAGCCGTCTTTTCCGTGTAGGGAATAAAAAACAGGGAGAAAATACCACGGCAGATAGGTAAATATTAATTAAAATATCTGATCCCCCCCAGTTTATATGATTGTTTATTGGTGCTTGATGATGTGGGTTTGGATGTTGTGAATCAAAAAGGTGAAGCAAAACACCTTGTTGGATACCCCTTCCACTTTTCCAAGCAGGAAATCTATTATCTGGGTGAGGTAAGACTTCAAGAAATGGTGGAAGGATGTAAAAGAATGAATTGATTGGAGGAGAATTTTTCAATTGATTGGGATTGAGATTGGGGAATGCCGGACTTGGTAATCGTATAGGTAAAGTCAATTGAAGTTGAATGGTTTACCTTGATAGATAGGTAGGCAAGATATGGATGTATGTTGTTGACTTTAATAATATATACTACCCAGCATTACTAGGTATATACTAATACTAATAGATATCTAGGTAATCCTCGAAAGATTAAACTGGAATGCGAATCATCTTAATTCTGATTGATGGGAGAGAATTGAATAAAAGAAATCAAAATCAAAATAAAAAGTTAAAAGAGAATAATAAATACATATGTAGGTATTATAGTAGAAGAGAACCATATCAAATATCCCCCGTACTCGAGTAGAACCACTCAAAAGAGAAGAAAAAGCCAAAAGAAGATATTGCTTACGGAGCAAGAGAATCATCGATAATAGGTAGTACAAGAACAGCAAGCAGCTGTAGTGAAAGTAGTCAAAGTAACACACCAGACCACACTTCACCGAATCTTACAAACTTACAAAAGATTTATGAACCATCCACCACCACATGGTACCACATCACATCATGCTGTACTCCTCCTCGTACTCTGTGATAGAAAATTTCCGAGTGAATGGAAGATAATCCATTCAGTCACTTGAGATGACTCTCGTGCTGCGTGCCGGATGATAATGAATTTGTAAGGCAGGGCAGGGCAGGGCAGGGCAAGAGAAAGGACAAGGCGGATCGGGTAATGCAGGACAATGCAGGGTAATGATGAAATGAACGACTTGCCATCAGATATAGCTAAGTGAATAATATTCCCCCCCCCAACTCCAATATCATCACCATGGACATTATAGAGTAGGTAATATACATCAATATATCTATCTACCTGCAGGACTTTGAACCTACAGACAGAATTTTCCAACTACAAGTACAAGTGGGGTACCCAAGAAAAATAATTAATACTCGCAAGGCTTGCCAAGCATCAGTATGCGCAACTTCATCCGAGAGTAACACAAATCTGACGACACTTCTCAAGGGGAGGGAAGGCTTTATGATGGCTTGATAGATTGATGGCTTTATGGGCTGATGGGCTGATAGTGTATTTGGTACTCATATGATAGAAGCCATGTTTCTTCCATGGATGAAGGTAGAAAGGGAGATGAGGCTGATTTTAGATATATGTTGGATATCTACCTAGGTGCTTTTTCTTATCAAAGTATCTATATTGTTAGTTCCGCGTAGTTAGTATCTATTCGAGTTTCTATGTACTAGGTAATCTTACACGGGTTTGAATGCTAATGATAGGGTTTAAGGCATTTCTCTTCACCTTGTATCTATCTAGGTATTTACCTACCCTTTCTGTGTAACCATTACATGATGATACAAACAAACCATCACTTCACATTGGCCCCTCACTCCTCATTCCTTACCCCTCTCAAACCCCAACCTAAACTCATCACACCAATACACAACCATACACCACCAGCACCATAACACAAGCAAGCAAGCAAGCAAGCAAGCAAGCAAGCAAAGCAAGCCTCTCTCACACACAACACAAAAAATCTAAAAATAAAATCCATACCTAGCTACCTACCTACTACCTCGTCACGTCATGTAATCCATAATGTCTAATCCCTAATCTCTAACCCCTATTCCATAATCCATAATCCAGAAAAATCTAAACCTCACCACCAACCAACCCATCCTATCCCATCCCCGGATTTCAAATCACAAATCTCAAATCACAAATATCAGTTCTCGAACTCTAGTAGAATAATAATAATTATTACTAGGTATCTAGACACTCTTTCATCTTTATCTACCTATCTACCTACCTACCTACCTACCTATTTACTTCCACATCATATCGAATTTTATACCCATCCCAATATCAAACTCAAAATCAAACTCAATCTTCATCTCATTCATAAACTCCTCATCCCATCTTTACCCTCTCCCTCTACCCTCTCCCTCTACCCTCTCCCTCTAGCCTTTCCCTCTAGCCTCTCCCTCTAGCCTCTCCCTCTACCCTCTACCCTCTCCCTCTACCCTCTCCCTCTCCCTCTACCCTCACCCTTTCCCTCTTCTCTCCCCTTTTCCCTAATCTCTCCCTCTCCTCCATCCACTTCAAAAACTCACCATCCCCTTCATGTCCACACAGCCTACTCCTACCCCGCCTTGTGTATCCCACACCTCACACCTCCCTTCACCCTCATCCCTTACATCGGGCCGTTTAACTAACATCTCACGTTCACGTTTCGCTAACTTTTTGTGCATGCGTGCACTGCATCTCACTGCATCAAAGTGCATACCACAATCGGTTTGTTTATTTGTGGTAGGAGTAAGGGCAAGAGATATTGGTACGATTAATTAAAATTCAGAAATAAACAACTTACTCATGAAAATAGAAAGAAGATTAACCTTGATGTCTTGTATAATTCATTTTTCATGATATTTCCTAAATTCATTTTACAATTTGATATTTATCAAAACCAAACGCCTAAACTACTAGATCCCCATGACCAAAACTACAATTTAGAAGCAGGCGATGAATGTCCAACCGCCGTAATTTCATTATAAAGAAGCCTAATAATTTATGTTAGCAATTTGTTTTCAAATAAAAATCACTGGAAAACATCAAAGGGTTGTACTTACGTAGTCAAGAAATCCGCATAATCCTCTCCAGTAACTTGACCTGCAAAGTACTGTGCCGCCAATTGATACTTATTTCCTTTAGGCCCTTGACTCGCCAACTCATCTGCTTGTTCCTTAAGCAATCTCAACGCATAAGCCTTGTCCACCTTCTTTCCTTCTGCGGTACTAACACCATGTTTAACCCATTGCCATAATTGAGAACGACTAACTTCTGCTGTAGCAGCATCTTCCATCAAATAATTAATAGGTATACATCCTACACCTCGGAGCCATCCTTCCATATATCCTAATCCTATGTTCAAGTTCTTGCGAATACCTTCTTCGGTGACAGCGCCAGGGACATTCATATTTAAAAGATCGTTTTGTCCGATCTTTACATCTAAGCGACGAACGAACATTTGATTGGGTGTGGGCATGTGTTTGTTGAATACTTCGGAAGCGATACCTGCAAGTGCTGGATGAGCTACCCATGTACCATCATGACCAGCTTTGGCCTCACGGATTTTATCCGCATATACACCTTCCATTGCCTTGTCATTGGCGGCTTTATCATTCTTGATAGGAATTTGAGCGGCCATTCCACCCATGGCATGTACTTGTCTTCGATGACATGTTTGGATCAATAACTTAACATATGCATCCATGAATGGAACGGTCATGGTGACAGCCGATCGATCAGGAAGAACGAAATTTGGGTTGTTGCGGAATTTCTTAATGACACTGAAGATATAATCCCATCTTCCACAGTTGAGACCAGCGCTATGATCACGAAGTTCATAAATGATCTCATCCATCTCAAATGCAGCAAGGATCGTCTCGATCAAAACTGTTCCTCGAATAGTTCCTCTTGGGATGGCGATGAAATCTTGAGAGAGATTGAATACATCATTCCATAAACGAGCTTCAAGGTGAGATTCCAATTTTGGGAGGTAGAAATACGGTCCAAGTCCACTGCTGATCAATTCCTTAGCATTGTGGAAAAAGTATAAGCCGAAATCGAAAAGACTGCCAGAGATTGGTTCTCCATCCACTGTGAAATGTTTCTCATCAAGATGCCAGCCTCTAGGTCTTACGATGAGTGTGGGAAGTGTACGATCGGTTCGAAGTTTGTATTCTTTCTCTCCTATTTTGAAATCGACTTGTTTTCTAACTGCATCGTAAAGATTGACTTGTCCATTGATCATATTATCCCATGTTGGAGCACTGGAATCTATTGAAGAAGTTAGTACTTGAATATCGGGAAATAAATTAGAATAGATAAATCGTACCCTCGAGATCTGCCATATATGTCCAAACATCTGAATTCAAAGCATTGACAATCATCTTCCTGTCAGTTGGACCAGTGATTTCCACCCTACGGTCGATCAATCCTGGTGCAGGTGGTGCTCCCCTCCAAGCATCATTTTCACGGATATGTTTTGTTTCTGGAAGGAAATCTGGTAGAGAACCCTTATCAAGTTCTGCTTGTCTGATTACACGACGTTGAAGAAGTTCTTTTCTGGTACCATCGAAAGATCTGTGAAGGAGAGCGAGGAATGCAACGGCATCCTTACTGAGAATCTTCTTATTGAAATCAGTAATAGTTCCAGAGATGTTCACGCCTTGTAATTGAGCATCGATTAGAGACATCTTGTAAGTTATTTGATGGGTATATTGAGAGATATGAGAATAGATGTGGTAAATTTGTAGATATCCAAAGGAAAAGAATAGAGGGATATAATTGATGTGAAAAGAAGTCAAAGAATCCAAGATGTAGAGGGGAAATAAGAGGAAAATATGACTATATTAGCAGCTTGGTCGCGGCAATGAGGAGCCACTCGGCATGCAAGTTCATCCCCAAGAGCAGCATGCATTCGGATGGAGGGGAAAGATAGCTTTTGGTTAGAAGGCTTCAGGATTAAGCTTGTGAATGTGGGGTAATGCCTCTTTCGGTAATCGCCGCCTTATGTGTTTTGATTGTTTGTTTGTACTTCATTCCTCAATGTGATAATGAGATAATGTGATGATAATCTTTTATCGCTATATCATGACACTTTGACAAATACATGATGTCGTCTTTTTGATATAATTTAGTCAAAGACATTGTTCACTATCTCAAATATATAGTAATATGTATATAAATATGGAAATACTTTGTTGAGTAGCTCTGAAATGAGATATCCTCCTCAACAATAAAATGTTCAAATTACCTGATCTGTAGTAATATGATGAATTCCATCTCTTTTGCATGTGGAGAGGTGGAGAGAGCTTCCTTTGGTACAGATCCAGCCCTGCAATGGTAATGCTGGTAAAAGGCTACCCTTGGTTATCCTCGGGTCGAGAAAGCGCAGAAAAACACCTCTTATCTGTTATCGCCTAGACTTTGATAAGCCGAGGCATTACTCGATGAAGACGAGTAAACCAGTAAGCAAGTAAACAAATGACCTCTTTTTGCGACTGGAAATGTTTCCGAATTTCGTTCCAGATTGTCCGATGATCGGATTTCTTCTGCTATTGGTGTTGAGAGTTCCGGGTAACAGGAAGATGATACCGAGGTCGGTTTTAGGTTTTACCTACTAGTTAAGTACATTGGTTCAAAGTCCGAAATACGCTTTGTTTGGAATAATCTCTCCGATCACTTGCTTGGAGGGGACTGGACTATCGAGCATCGTATGTCTGATGATTGTTTGATACTATCAGACAAGTATGGCTTCATCTCTACTTAGACTTCTATGTCAAATCTACAGTACCGTAGGAAATCCTTCGTCAAGAGCATCTAGCAGTCTCCTTTTGCAGCCAAGTGGTAGTTCAGTCATCCAGCGCCAGTCATTGAACAGAAATTAGCAAATATTCTATCCAAGACTTCAGTGATGTCTTGGAATTGACTTGTACAATGTTCTACATAAACCGGCCAAAAGGATGTCTTGGCTTCCCCAATTATATGTCATATCTATTGAGAGGGAAGTCCTGCGCCCTCTTTCTGCAGTAGTCGAGATGATTGCTAGTAAAATATTATATTTCTCTCTAGTCGGATATATACTCTTCACATCATATGATATATATATCCATACTACCACATTGAAGCGAACAAAATCTCACTCCTATCAGTGCTATCGATGCAAAACTCCAGTCATCGCAGCTGCACCGGAGTTGGATCTGAAGAGGAGAAGGTAGCATTTCGGTCCCAATTAGCTGCAACTACAGCGATCTTCACATCCACCGCATTCGATTGCGAACCCGCAGATGTTGAGGGATTTTTCGAAAATTATCAACACACTACCGCTCAGGGCTTATTGGCATAGCATCTTACCCTCAAAACCTTCAACAAACCTCACATCGTACACGGGTATGTATTCTGAATGACTTAAATGGTTGAGAATAAGTGAGTAAACAAACATCCTTTCGTTTTATCTGTTTGTCCCCCTAGGACCTTTCTCCTTATTATCTGATCTCCAGACGCTCTTGATATATTTTCACGTTTTTTCTCTTTCTTGTTCATTCCATTCCATCCTTTCCCAATCAAAAACAGCTAAAAAGCATACAGCTCGATATTGCTTTATTCCTCTCCCTCTTTTCTGTCTCTTTTTCCCTTCTCTCCACCAATCTCTCTTCTATCCCCCTTCTCCCCCCTCTTTCAACCGTCTACTCTTTACCTACTCCTACACCCTAGAAACTTTCCTCTCCTTTCGACACAGCCTCTTCATTAATAACACCAATTCGTTATATCACTATATCACTATATCATTACACACTACATAACCAGCCCAATCTATGGAATATTAGAACAGAAAAATGATAACGATCAGTTCACCTTATCCCCTTTCCCTCAATTATTTGGAGCTTCACTTTATGGACGCTATTACCTCCCTCATCTCCAGTTGATAAAAATTAAAAAAAGGAATGATATCCTATTTCAACCACCTGGCAATCCTCCCTCCGTACCCCATCTTGACGCTTGCTTCCAATAATTAATTTAACCCTATTTCTCAAGTTTCTTTTCTTCCTTACACTTATACAATTTACCCATTTATCTCTCGTCATATCCATTATCTTCAACCCAGTCAACATCCCTCTCTGTAATCAAGAGCCTGTATTCATCACGATTTATCTCTCAACTACCTCGCTGCAACAAACTCGACCAATCATTCATTCTAAGCATCTCAGTTAAATTCTTTCACGCTCCAAAATTCTTACTCAAAGTGATCCTATAAATTTATTTCCCAATTTTTCGATATTTATCCCCTTCCCCTTGTGCTTCAATTTCATGCCTTATATTTATGATAACCTGTAACCTACCAAAATAAATCAACCAATTCTCCCCCACCGTTTCCTTGCGTTCCTTACATCATTTTTTGATCTTCGCTTCCCCTATCCCCATTTTTCAATTTCCGTCAAATATTCATTTACTCGACTCACCTATTCGTATCCTCCCCGGCTCCCTCTTTTCCCTTCATCCTCAACAAATCCCTTTCTACCAAATAATCCTCATCTCTTCCCTACCCCTCCACCTCCACCTCGTCCTCCGCTTCCTCTCCCTCCTAACCTTCAACCAAACCTAATATCATATAAACCCATCCACAATATCCTCCATCTATTGCAATACTACTTTCTTAAACGTACTAAAACAGAATTTCACTGTATCAATATACAATATATCCTTTCAAACTCCAATCTTGATTTCTCTCCCCAACATACTCCCAACCAACATTCACTCACTTATTTTCAAGATCTACTCGGTTTTACTTAAATTATTTACCCTTCTCATCCAACATCTCCCAACTTAACCAACCACTTTGATTCCCACTCCTATTCTCCATGTAGGTAGCATCCATTCTTCAAACCTACACTCTCTCCACCTCACTACACTATTTATATATCCAATAATCTTGTCATTGCCCATCTTTCTCCCATTTCAATCTCCATCTCTCATTCCCACATCTATCATACCCACTTCTTTCTCTCCCATCATTTTCTTCCCATCCTCAAAAAATTTTTCTTGATACTTTTCTCCTTTCATTAATCACTCACTTCTAGAGTCACAAATATATGATCATAACAATAAACTATTTTTACATCATTTTATATGTCTCTCCATAAGTACAACCACAACCATATCACGTCAGTAGGGTAGTATTACCTCACTTTATATATCTTTTCACAACTATATCACATCACCAACCCGATTCCACCTTACCACCACCTCACCCTATCTTTCCCTACTCAGTCATCCATCCCGTCTCGAACTTCCTCCACTCATACACAACCTACCCCCTATATCGACCCATTATCACCTATTATTACCTAAAAATAACCACAAAACACATAATTCATCCAAAAACCTTTCAAAACACTATTTTAATATAAATATACAATTACAATATTAATAAAGCTTCTTTATATAGGTATAAACTTAGACAAAGATAGGTAGATAGATAGATGAATTATATTAGTATTTTAATTGATAGAAGGAAAGAGTGTGTGAGAGAGAGGGGGAGAAAAAGAGAGAAGAATGGAATACAATATGAAGAAATTGTTAGGGCTGTGATATTAATATTGGTATTGATATTAACATTTGCAATACTTGCAGTACGAGCAAGAAAGGACATCCATACATTCATATATCGAGTTGAATGAATCTTAGCTGTCATCTCTATCTCCATCTCTATTTATATTACACCCTAAAATATAAACCCCTAAATAATGATATTATTATTAATAATAACTATCTCAAATACTTAAATTATTTAAGAAGGGAGAGGAGGGAGAGGAGGGAGAGGAGGGAGAGGAGGGAGAGGAGGGAGAGGAGGGAGAGGAGGGAGAGGAGGGAGAGGAGGGAGAGGAGGGAGAGGAGGGAGAGGAGAGAGAGGAGAGAGAGGAGTGGGAGGAGTGGGAGAAGTAGATGTATTGGTTTCGAAATATGGGTGTATATTACACGAAATATGGATATATATGAAATAAAATATTCCTTTCATATCACACCCCATCACATCATACCACATCAAGTATAAATATAAATATGTTTTCTCAAAACTTAAACCAAATTAGAATCAAATAGGAATCAAATTCAAATCAAAATCAACCAGTGAACCCAAGAGCCACAGAAATAGGAGTGGTATCAGAAATAATATGAAGTATATGTAGATAATAATCTTATATCTAGAGATGACAATCTCCTCAAACAAGGGATTTCACTCCATTCCATTCCGTTTCATCCCATGAATTAAATCCACTTTCCCCATCTCTCTTTCCCATCATTGTAAAAGCATATCATCATAAAAGAAAGTAATCACCACGCCACGCCACTTCTTGTACCACAATCTCCCCCATACTCCATATACTTCCACTCCTTCTACTTACTTCATTCCACTCCTCCCATCGCTCCCCCCCAGCTCTCAACTATTCCGCAATCCACATCATAGAGCTATCCACCCATTTTAACTCTAATCACCCCACCCATTTATCCAACCTTGAGTCACCACCTAAAAAGATCCCATCCCGTTCTTCTCATCAATAAACCTATATCTTTCCCTCTCCTTACGATCTTTGTTAAGCATCGCAATACCGAAGATAACTGCTACATCGAGACCTATACATTATTTTCGTTAGCTCTTATCCCAATTTTTCCAGTGAACCAATTCCATTCGGCTTTCCCATTCACCCTTAACTTCTCCCCCCGCTTATAACCCTGGCCTCTAGACTCTAGACCATACAAAGCACCTCAAACAAACCTCCGAAAAAAGAAAGAGAACATACCGACAATACCAAAAGCCGCCGTAAAAATAACATCCAAAAATAAACCATCGAACTTAACAAAAGCGCCACTACATCCCGGCATCGTAGCTGCAATAATAGCATTCGGACAAGTAGAATCTATAATGAATGCAGGAGCGCTCGTACTATTGAAATAACCGCAGCATCCAAATTCTTCCTGCAATAAACTCTGCGTGGTGGGACCTTGCGCATTCCATGTATCGAGAAGAGATTCCTTGGATTGAAGAGTACCAAACCAAATATCGAGACCTATGACCAGGGTGAAGATGGCGCAGACGACGACCATGTAGCCATGGAGTTTGAGCCAGCCTCGGGTGGTGCTGAGGGTCATGGCGGGAATGGAGAGGAGGAAGGAAATGAAGATTAAGATTGCATTGCCAATGGCAGCTTTTGATGGGTAAGTTAGGTCAGCTCATTGCACATATATCATCAAGAAAGGATATGGGATATGAGGTATTAGACTAACCATTCAAAGGAGTACCCTCCAATAGAAGTTTCGTCCCAACACTCGAAATACTCAGTGCTTGTGAAGTACCAGCCTTCGTGTTCAAGGCAAATCCAAGTAACAATGCTCCAGAACCTACAAAGAGTAAATCTAGGATAATGTATGTCCAAAGGATCTTGTCGGCCATTTTGTGTTTTGTTGAATAGTACCAGCTATATCAACTTAAAGTCGGAATTGAATTTAATTAAATGTAGATGAAGGAAAAAAGAGCAAGCTGTCCTGGTGAAAAGGACGACCGGCGTCTAAATTTGTGATGATAGACTGACTGATTGGCCTATTGCAATGAAGGGACCAAAAAAAGAAACAATGAAAAAATGAAGCAATCAATGCCCTGCACAAATGTATCGAGAGATCGACCCCAATGATTGAACTTGTGCTTGGCACAAATTGAGAGATAGAGATGAAGAAAAGACGGAGAAAAGACGAAAACCAAATAGAAATGAAAAGAATAAAGCAGAAAAAAAGTTTGAAGAAACTTTCATGCGACAAGAAAAATAGAATGAATACCTACTACTCCGTACAGAACACTCAAGGGTAAGAGGTAAAGTCAACAATGGATGGATGGATGGATGGATGGATGGTATGATCCTACCAGTGAGTCCTAGTATAGAACAGAAACACTTCAACACTTCCTTTAGAAGCACCATCCATTCATAGCATGAGAAATGTGTATACGTTGCCTCATGAAATGGGCCGTGCAATAGATTCAACTCGGATTGTTCCTAAGAGATTGTAACAAAAGTGTGCTGCGACAGTTGAAGGGGGATGGCGTAGCAGAATTTTGAGTGTTGTGAAGGAAGATCTTAGCTGCTACGATGGCCGTGTTTATCCGTAGTTTCGAGGAGTTCAAGGGGTTCAAGGATTTTTCGTGACTCTTCTCTACAATTGGCGTTTCAAGTCTTGCCTCATGATGAGGTGGGGATGTAACAAATTTCCCGTTGAACCAACGAGAAAGGAGGAAGGAGTATTACTGTACAGAGTACGGACTACGAATATTGTAAACTGACCGGGACTGAGTGATGAGTGTGATGAGTGATGATGGATCTATTGATGAGATTGATGATAATAGAAGCTTAATAGCTCAAGAGAATATTACAAAATTTAGCAATGTCCTTGACTAAAATTAATAATGCAATGCGTATTGGTCGATACCGCAAAGGTGCTAATTTTACCATGTAATTATAGAGATGGATATGGAGGAGGTGAGATGGTAAGATAGTCAATTGTGACATGGTCATTGGTGAGATCTTGAGGCTTGTGCTTTATTGCTTGTTCATGATCTTCCCCCAGGGTTTAAAAATATCCTGGGAAACCTAAGGCAGAAATAGTAAAGCTCAATTCTCAATTTGATCGTGTACCACAGAGCATCCATCCATCATCCGTTAAAATCATCCGCTTTCAACTTTGGTTCAGGTCGAGTGTAACTACTAGGCACAATCGCAATAACGCAACGCATTATTCCATAACCGTTGAGGCTGAAAACGATTCGATCTGAGATTGAACTGACAGTTCGACTTCAAAAGAACTTTTATTAGGGTATTTTCTATTCCGTACAGAGTATATATGGTCCTCCTTCCTTGCCTCAATTGGAGCCATAATTGTGATGGACGTAGACATGCTTCTCCACTCCCAACTTACTCATACAGAGGAATCTTGACATGATTCTGAAGAATTTAAAGCATTCCTATTGGTAATCTTGATGGTCATACATACAAGTGAGATCCAATGCACGGGTATGTGCAGACATCTGAGATGGCCGTTGTTCTGGGTAATCGAAGTGGTCATTTGTATCACTGTGGTACATGGATTGTCAGGCCTAGCAGGTAAGCCCAGACTCTAGATCTGTCCTCTCAGTCATGGATGGATAGACTCATGAGAGACACAAACAATACTTTTGAAAGCGGAAGTATAATTAATAAATAAATGTGCCGAGAGATTAGCTACCAATGTCCATTTTTGATAGTCATTTGTTCAATGAGATGAGTAGATACTAGATAGTCTTCAGTTCCACTCTAATCCTCTAATCATCTCTAACCGATACATACTCCGTACAGTAACATCCACACTACAGTATACACACGGGGTAGTAATAATAAACCCAATACTTCGTACAACTTATGTGCTCGTACCTTTTCACTCCGATCCCGTTTCGCACCGCTGCCACTTCCATCGGTTCGGTTCAACAAAAGCTTTGTTCTTTATGAAATGAGATCTTCAAAAGTTTCTCAATTGCATCGGTTGGGTGCTATGAGTACCGTACTAGGTGCAAGTGATTGATAGATACCTACCTACTCCGTACTCTGTAGATAGAAAGTAGCTGAATAGCATCCAATACCATACCTAGGACCCAGATACCTAGTATGTATCAATCAGGACAAGTGTCGGATTGTTTGGATACCTAAGGTATTCCAGCACACTTTATCATCCAATGACAATGAAATTTCCCCTCTTTTTCTCCCTCCTCTCACTGATGGCTGACTCAGCAGTGACACCATGTGAATAGCGTACCTAAACCTGTTAAAGGTTTAAAGGTCGCACTTCCCTCATTCAGAATAATAATTGTTCCTCCAACGCTTGACCTCAAAAGGTTTTATTTATCCTATCCATTTGCCAAATAACGATCCTCTACCAAGTCTTCAAACCCCTGCATCACCCCGAAGAACACAAGTTACCATAACTCCCTACAAACACCAAACATATCAACAAGTAACCGAACTTCTTCTTTGGCGATAACCACCTACCTACCTAGGTAGCTACAGTCAGTACCCAGAAAAAGGTGTCAAAAAGCACTCTTTCGGTAAGGTACGTTCAATAATATTTTATATCGAGCAATGTCATGCTGTCAAGAAAGATATCCCTCCCTCCCTCTTGCATCTACTGTTCACCTCACTCCACCTCACTCCTTATTCCTTCAATGTCCATCACCTCTTCCATGATCTCTCATCTCCATTTTCAAATGTCATCAAAGCTTCAATCTTCTTACCGAGTACTGTTACCAATTTTCAACACTCGGTCGCACTGATCTTCCCACCCCCACACCACCATAATTTCTATACACTGCACGCACACTGCACATTACCAACAACTCGGGAAATCATTTTCGGGTTACAATTTATCTGCTTCTCGCACTACTGCAAAGCTTTCTGCATCTATTCAGGAGAGAGCACACAAGACATTTATTTCCATTTCCCATGGGCCCTACAACTACACGGAGTACTATCGAGTCAGTGATCAAGGATGAGCTTCGGCCAATAGGCCAAGTTGCCTTATCTCAAACCGCTTTTAGACAATGGAAGGGGTCAAGCTTGTAGCAGACCTACCCCATTGCCAAGACATTGTCAATCCTTCTCGAGTAAAACTGCTTTGAGTCGATGATTGAACAGGACTCGAGCATACCAAATTGCAATTTGGTCAATTGCAAGAATGGTCATGAGCCATATATTCAAATATATCAGTGTCCCCGGTACTTGAGAAGTAAAGTTGCTTCAAGGTACAAAATAAAATTACGATCAATTTCTCAAATGGTACGAGATTGAAGACTGAGGGGGGAGGCCGACCAAAGTCATGTTTCTCACTCCCTCCTCACTCACTCACCCACTCACCAACACCAATCACCAATCACCAATCGCTACTCATCATTCTATCACCCACTCACTCACTACCCATTTCACACTATTTGAGCACGCAGCAGCTTCATCTGGATTTCAAGGGTGAAGAAGCATCCGGCTTTGATACCGGTGCACGCTATTTTCCTCGTTAAAAGGTCCCTTGCCAATCTCATTTACCTTGAGCAACGTAGGGATTATGAGTGGAAGGTGCAAAACAAGATGCTTGCTAGTGCTTCATTACTCAATAATCCCATCCCATCACTAAAAGCTTACCAGAGCCGAGTAAAGACTGGGGACTGGACTAAGAAAAGACTGAGGTTGTACCTTTTGAATTGTACCTGACCATTGACCATAAGACGGTTGGGATTGATGATATTACATCAATTTCAATCATGGTACTCAATTGGTCGACACCATACTTTATTGAAATTCTACACCCACATTAGCACATTGATGTTTTAAGAACAATCATTTCAAAAAAGCTTTTTTTTTCTTTCTCCTTCAAAATATCTCATCGTCTGTGCATTTTTGGAAAAGATTAATATGACATGGTGGAACTCGAACTAACTCATTTGGACCAGTTAAACTTTAGTATTCAAATTGAAAATCACGGAAAAGCACGGATAAATTCATTTATTACCCATTCCATCCATTCCCACCATTCCAATCATTCATCAGGACAATTTTCCCACCATTTCATTGGATCATTTTGCACCACTTCTCCATCGGTCACACCACCATAAGATTGTTTATCTACCCTCTCTATCCTTGCTACCCACCCAGTCAAGCACCCCACCGTTCCTTCCCGCATACAATAGTGTACAGACTACAGTACAAGACATTATCCACTTATCCACTTTTGCTAGAGGCCAACCACTTTTCATCACGGAACTACTGGCTGCACTGCACACTTTCCCGACCGAGCACACTCATCCCACCGAGCACACTTTACTTAATTCATCTTACTTCACTTCACTTCACACAACCAGAACCCCAGCCTCCCCCAGTGTTCCATCTTTTCTTCCTCTACTCGGTTGTGTGTACGGAAGTACAGTATCTGTGTGTGGGTGTGTGTATGTATGTATGTATGAGAGAGAGAATGTGTGTCTCTCCTTCCTTATCCAAAGAAAGTTGACAGTACAGATACATTAAAGTGTGCCAGTGCAAGTGGTTTTAATTCGCCTGTGCTTCCTTAATCTATCCTCTTTTCAATCATCCCGCATTCGTACTGCAGCGATTTTGCCTGATCAATTCATTAATCCCCATCTTCTTTTTACAGTTACTTTCAAATAAATAAAAAAAGTCTCCTTCTCAGGAACGAACCACAAGATAGTTCCCAGCCAAATTCCACCACCACTTTTAACTACGAACCGAACCAGAGCAAAGCAAAACAATCCAGACCAGCCCAAAAAAAAAAAAAGGTACGTACCCAAACAAGCAACTGACCACCACCTCAAATTCCGCATTCAAGCATCAACCCCGAAACCCGCAAACATACCGTACCATTTCTCAACCTGGAACATTTTCCAAAAATCCAACTACGGTTTTGATCGAATCCAATCACTTTTCCCTTGGATTTGATCCAATGGAGTAAAAATAATATATAAAATAACTCTCATTCTTCTATTTAACAGTTACCATTACCAGTTACGGAC